TAGGGTGTTCTGGAACAAAAATTAATAGCAAGCACTGTAACATTGATATCAACACAGTATCTGGCAGATTCAGGGCACAGGTGAATACATGTTTGCTATTGGCTGTACCATCATGCTGCAAGAATGCCTTCAGGTCTTCATCTGTGACATCATATGATTCTAAGTAACTTTAACATCAGCTGTTCCAAACAGTCCAATTTATTGTCTGTTATGGACGCTCGTAAAAAACAGCATAAGTATTACTCAGTCAACACCGTCTGTCCCTTCTTGGAATATTTTTTTAAAAAGACGTTGATTGATTGACGTAGTACTTCAGTGTACATGTACCTAGGCCTGCATGGTTTTCTAGCAGATATATGTGAAGAGGTTTTTAGCTGTGTTGGGTTGACAGGACGAAGGTGCCACCATTCCATTTTGGCCATTATGATTGTAATCTTTTTTTAAAATCGTTCCCCTCATGAAAATGGTTTTGCCCTGCGTTGTTCAGCATACTCCATAAACCCACTCAGCGCTTCTCTACATGTACATTTGCATTGCCGTACTTGGAGGGATGTTTTTTGGTTTATTATTTATTTTTACACAAAGAGTGTTAACTTTTAGATTTTGTCTCTGCATTTTGCGTCGATGTAGTGTTCAATTTTCAGATGAATTCAAAAGTACTCTGAGGAGTTAACAAAACAGTAAAACATTTGGAAACCAGTGGATATACATGTACATGTATGCTCAGTACAGTACATTTGTTTTCATGCATGTTGAATTGTCATTACTTATTAATCTGCCCCAACTGGAATTACCTCCCTCGTTGGAAAAGAGGGGATTTGTGGGGATCATTTCACCTGTCACGTCCTGGCCACCTGGCGTGCATATTGAGACATTCATTCTCAAATGTAGATCCTCCTATGTCATATGCAGCAAGGTATGAGATGGAGAGAACCCCCCTGCTTTGTGTTGGTCATTTTCTCGCAGGAATCTGGGGAATTCCTTTCAGACATCTTGGGGGGGATGTGTTAAGTAACAATAGTCTGGAATGTGTATAGGGATTGGACATGTTGGGGGGTACCCCTCGGTCTCATTTCTTGCGGGGCATATCATATGTATTGGTGGTATGTGCCCAGTGCAGCCCTAGCCAAATTGCGTATAAGCCTGTGTGCATGCAGCCATGCACGTGGTGAGTTCCCACCAAAGGGGAGCTGTTGATGCACATCATTCTCACGTGGAGTGGAAAAACGGATCGCGAACGACCCGCTGCACCGCTGGGCAGCTGACCACGTGCTTCTCCCCAAGTATTGCTTGTTCCAATTGTATGTACATGTACCCTGTGCACATGTATGTGTATACATGAGTCCATGTAAGTGTAACCAGGTCGGACATAAATCACCACCGCGATCGGTCAGAAACACCATGGCTTGGGGCTCAGCGGAATGGATTAGTCAATCAACCTTTACTGAAGTGACATGTACTTGTACGTACAGTACAGGGTACTTGTACAAGACAAGTTGGACTTGGGCACTAACATTTCTAGTCTTACGGCCACTGTGATTGTCTGTGTCACCAAAAAGAATCATTGCTTCATGTCAGTGGTTTAACTGTGGGGAACCAGATGAAGTTCCTGCCCCCTTCTCCCAGTGCCGCCCCCCCTCCTTTTTTGAAATTATGAAGTCACAGTTCATTTGGTTCCAGTGCCCCTTCAAAAAACTGTGTTCGTCCCTCCTTCAGCTTTTGAGAGTGTGTGCAGTACAGTGTATGTATCATCTCAAATAATCTCCTGAAATCTGTCTAAATGCTTTGTCCATTCACTGTGAATTTCTTCCATTTTACAGGCTGGCAACTTTAAAACAGGACGCGGTAATTAGCAGAAATTTCGGTCCATGGAGCCCGGCCTGCGCGTGGTCCGGGGACCCGACTGGAAATGGTCCAATCAGGACGACGGGGAGGGACACGTGGGCACGGTTGTGGAGATCGGCAAGCCTGGTAGTACCAGCTCCCCAGATAAGACGGTAGTCGTGCAGTGGGACAGCGGGACCAGAACCAACTACCGAACCGGGTACCAGGGAGCTTTCGACTTGGCGCTGTACGATAATGCCGTCGTAGGTACGTACCGTAAATATTCTGCATTTAGAACAAAAGGAAGAAAGGAATGTAACTTTATGCCTGGTCTGCTATGAGGAAGTGATGGCAATGAAGCTTTTTGCGGACAAGTTTTTTCTTTAAGGAGGAAGTTAGTTCTTCTGTACATGTACCTAATGCTAGCTCATGGAAGCCATTTACCAAGCTCAGAACTTGAAACTCTGCCATACTCACAGCTCCTGTATTTTGGGGTACTACCAAGTCAACTAACAAACAACCGTTTTGTATTTGTGTTAAAAGTTTGTATTGTGGTTCCCGTGGTGCACTTCTTTTCTTGAACATTCTGAAATTGGAAGGAACCTGACTGTTTTTTCGTCTGCGACAGGTGCAAAAATATGTACATGTATAGCCTACCAAAGTGAATACATGTACATCACAGGCACAATAATCTGTGTGTAAAAGACATTAGCATGAGAACCAGTGCTTGAACCAACAAGCGTGACAGTACCGCTACTCCATTCATTGGCACTACACTTCCTGATTATTTGGTTAAATTGACGTCGTGCTTCAGTACCCTGTAGCCTCTCTTTTTTAACTAGTTTTTATTTGGATGATAAAGGTGGTATGACTCTATCTGTTGAAACTACCAATCCCAGCACATGGATGGTGATCTATAATGTGCCCCTGTTGCATCGTCTTCATTCCCACACATTAATACCCTGTTGAGAAAAATGTGTAAAGCGATCACCTCGCTTTGGATCCAGGATGGCCAACAGACGAAAAAGGCCAGTTAGATTGGAAGCACTGCGGGTTTATTGCTGGGCACTAACATACATGAGACAGATGCTGTCCTCGCTGATCATTCCACTCAGAGCTTGGCACGTTCTGACCGGTGACACGTGTCGTGCATTTTCAGGTGTGAAACACCCCAACATCATCTGCGATATCTGCAAGCGTCCCGGTATCAAGGGAATGCGCTGGAAGTGCATCGACTGCCACGACTACGACCTGTGCACGGTCTGTTACATGAGCGACAAGCACGACCTGACCCACTCCTTCCTGCGATTTGTCACCCAGAACTCAATCGGGTAAGATGCGTACGGGTGCTCTGGTCTTCAGCAAACTTTTTTCCCATTTTAATAGCCCATTTAGATTGTTACCAGTCGGTACACTTCGGCTTTGCGCACGGCCCTATAAAAACTTACTTGCAGCTCACATAAGGCACTGCTGTGCATGGACTCTGTAAGACACAACCTTTAAGGAGTGACTCAGCAAAACACACAATACAGCTGCGCACAGCCTGTTAAGGTTAGAAAGGTTGATAGCGATGTGAAAGACAGTTGTGTACACATATCTTGCCGTGAGCACATTGGGCATTATCTACTATAACCCACCAGTCTAATGTGTGTGCTCTCGTGTGTATTGCGGACATGTCATCATGCCGGTGTTATTTGTGTCCTATATTCAATACCTAAAGCATCACATGTTTGTTGATCTAAACTTTTACAGGTACCAGTAGGGTAGTGATTTTTCTTTTACCAGCCTACCAGGTAACCAGGGAAGAAAGTTTGAGTAGCCTGGAGTAATTTACACTAGAATTTGTACACCAGGGAAGCACTGTTTCAAGCCCCTAGGGCTGAGTCAATTCAAATAACTCACCATTCGAATATTCGATCTTCAATTTGATCGAATACCCGAATATTCGGTCATACCAACAGGCAGATTGTTGAGGAACAAACCATATGCAAAATCAGTCGCAATAACACACACAATCGTACACTATGATCACTATAATAGCTTCTCACGTCTAGGAGTATCTCCAGCCATGATTTACCAAGTTTTAAGAGACAAACAATACTTCTTGCCCTTTTAAATTGTTTAATGAATAATTTACATTTTAAATCATTGTAAGATTTCTGACACTTTTCATTTGAAACAAGCCTCCACAGTGTAATTTTTCTCATGTAAAACAGAAGAAAAATTTCCCTTTTCACGAATTTTGCATTTGAATATTCAAATTTGAAAAATAATATACAAATATACAATAATTGATCAAATATTCAGATTTGGCACAACCCTACAAGCCCTGGTATTGTATGAGGATATAAGAGGTCATGTACCATTTTGTAGATTTTTACAGCCAGCCTACATGTGTGACTACTGCTTCCTTATTTCCTGTTCATGCTGTTTATGATATGCGCGAATCCAACCGAATCTTGTTCATAACTTGGGAGTCTCAGCAATGTGTCTCCCAGACTCCCAAAACTTGACAGATGTGAAAACATGCAGTACAACCTCACACACGGTTGAAGGAAAGATCCTGCACTTCGTCGCAGCCCCTCAATATTAACGTCACGGTCATGCCGTAAAATACAAACTCTTTTCAACTAATAATGAAAGTCGTCTGTTGTAGACCAGGATTTCAAACTTACAAACGGCTTTAATCTTCCCTGGAGCAGCCAATTTGTTTGGGAGAATATCTCCAAAGATGGACGTGCATCACAGAAGTGTTAATTTTTGATCACGGGTTTGTCCTTGTACCGACATTGTTTCATAAGACTGTGTGCTCAGTGTTGTCAGAGAGCTCACATAAAAGTTCACAAGCGCACTCGCATGAGACTCCAACCCACGACCTCCTGCCTTGTGCAGATGTCTTAAACACTCAACCACCAAGCTTGCCGGGTTTGGCTGGCCAGTCCAAGTCAAGTGTTGTAGTGGGTATCGCAAACTATTCCAGTCATGTTTTGCCTAAGAATTTTACCAGCAAAACAGTAATCTATAAGTGAATTATTTTGAAATTTAACCGAATCTGTCTGCATGCTCTTGTTTTTTTTCTGCCCTTGAGGTCTGAATCAAATCCAGGAAAAAAAACTGATTATAAGAGTTTCCATGCGATATAAAGTGTTTCGTTCGTGCCATTCATGTCCTTGTTGGCATTATTTCTCATGGACAGGGTAAAAGTCAGCAAGCGCCAGTCTGCCACCAGGCTGTCTCTTAGAGGGCTCTTTCCAGGGGCGAAGGTTGTGAGGGGACCAGACTGGGACTGGGGCAACCAGGACGGTAAGACTGTTCATTAGCTAGGTGGTTTGTTTTGTAGCTTACCCAGCTCAGGTTATTATCATTACATTTGTCTTGTTTATGTTTCTTTCATTTTGGCATTAATTCTATTTGTTTTTTATATTCACATTCATAAATGTATCAAAATACATGTGGACCTAAGGGTTGAAAGAATTTAATTGGTACAATTAAATTTAATTATTAAGCTGTACCTATCTTATCAAGCCATAAGTGAGCTAACTACATGTACATGAAAACTCAAACTCTAAACTTTGTTAAGTGCCAAATGCACATACGTGGAGTCTCTGCATCAGCATGGTAGCCAAGTATATTGACATGAGCACTAGTACATGCGTGAGTATTCCTGCATGGGTATGAATACGAGTACAGTTACTTCTCCCTGAGTACAGTTACTTCTCCCTGAGTATGAGTATGTTTGTTTTTTTTCCTGAACATCATTGTATGAGTACCTTTTTCTTGAGAATGAGTACAAAAATATACTCAAACACAAATACAGGACCATGAGGACACTACTTTGTGTGGTTTGATTTGGCAGTTTCTCCCTAAACCCCCCTTGGCATGTTTGCCAGGAACCTTTCCTTGCTCCTCCAAAATCCTCAGCCGTACAAGAAACCAATGGCACAGTTGTTTACAATAAAACTTTTATGAGCCGCAAACCCCATGCAAAGTAATTGTGGTTGTGCTATCCTCAGCCCTATAAAATCTTCTCCAAAACATCTTGATTGGTGAAGGATCTTAGAGCCGCCTCAGGCTGGGATTTTGATGGTTTTCCTGGTGAATATACAAGTACAAGTTAAAAGAAAGTTTGGTTCAACTGATACCCTGAGGAGGTTCAGGGACTTCATGACTGGACAGTTTTGTAATGGCCTTGTGAAACCCTTTAAGATACATGTAGACTTCCTATTTTAGCCTTTCCATGAAGTTCGTGATGTTACTATTGTTATTCATTTCCGTTAATGACTCCAAAGATTCCTCATAAACCTCCAAGGCACTGTAGCTCGCAAGCCTGAAGAAACCTGGAATTTCAGGCTGTTCATGGTGAAAGACAGCAATAGGTGGAAAGGCTTGCGGTAGCACCATGCGTCTCCTGACGACGGACTGAGCATGCAGTCCGAAACGTTGAGTATACTCTCGGTTCTTTTCAGAACCATACATAAGAGATATGTTCCTTCACATGTTGCTACCATAAGCCTTTCCACCTATTGCTGAAGAAACCTGTAGAGAGGAGACAACGAGAAGCAGGTACAGTTGTAGAGGTGGGAGGAAAACCCCAGAGGAATATTCTGGGTAAAACCCACGGAATCAGGTAGGGACTGAAAAACCTGATCCTCATGCGGACTGAGGTGGGCATCGAACCTGGGCCACAGAGGTGAAAGGCAAGGAGAGAAGAGGTACGCCAACCTTGGTCCCGAAGTGTAGTATGACTGTTTGTCTCATGTACTGAACAGAGAATAACATTAATGTGTCCTCCTGTCACAGGTGGAGAGGGCAAAGTGGGCAAGATCACAGACATCCGGGGATGGGACGTGGAGTCCGGCCGCAGCGTGGCCAGTGTCTCGTGGTCGGGCAGTGCGACGAACGTCTACCGGGTCGGCCACAAAGGCAAAGTGGACTTGAAGTACACCCAGGATGCCATCGGGGGATATTATTACAAGGAGCACCTTCCCAAGTTGGGTGAGTTCTTGTGCCAAATTTTGTTTTTCAAAGAATATCCCGATTGGGGTTTGTGTTGTTTTCCAGCAGTTGTTGAGCTTCTTACATGTACATGTGTGCGCATGTACAATGGACATGTACATCTATACTTGTTGAGGAATGCCTTTTAGGTGATTATATTTATCCTGTTCGGGAGATACTTGATGGTATTCCCCCAGGATTTGATCAGGTTGTAGGCCTCTGCATTTACAGGTACTTTCAGAACAAGGTTAGGTACCCATTTCTGTAAAGATAGGGTACCCAGCTTATCCTTAACACCTTCGCACCGGGAACCGTCAACCGTCGACAGCCACGGCTTTGTGTGAGGATTAGTGCATACCACACATACATTCTATTCATCGTGCAGCTGCGGTTTCAATGTGGGCCTGCTGGTGGACAGAGCTTTGCATACTGGGTATACCGCAGCCCAGCAGTCGCGGTCAAAAGAATCCCAGGGTTGAGGGGTTAAAATTAAAGCATAAATAAGTAACCACACCCCTGTCGGTAACGCCACATTTGTCACAGTATTTTTCTTCCTCCAAAAACAAACATCAGCACTTGATCTTGCTTCAACACCAACATGCCAGTGCAGTTGGAGTGGAATCCATTTGAATGGAGTCACCGTCCCTTCAGCAATTGAAGAAGAAAGTATAGCCTGTAGTGCAATCAGTAAGAGAGAAGGGAAGGCAGAGATTCCTTAGGTGTAGGGGCGGACATGTTTACGCCGTGAACCCCAGACACGCAGCGAGTGATGTCAACCAGTGTGGCTCGGATCGAAAAGTGTATTCTTTAGTGCAATCAGTGAGAGAGAAGGGGCGACAGAGATTCCTTAGGTGTAGGAGGGGACGTGATTAAGCCGTGAACCCCAGACACGCAGCAAGAGATGTCGACCAGTGTGGCTCAGATTGGGGACTCTTTATCTTTGCACAGGAATCATAAATGTTCCCACTGTGTGCCTTTACTCAAGGATGTCCAAGATGAATAAAACTGAATCTAAGTAACTTTTGTAACCTCGTGGCAAACAACTGGTTTGCGTCATTTTTAGTAATATTTTGTCAACATTCACAAAGTTTGGGTACAGTTTGTCTACATTAATTGCATAATGATCACTGGAATTTAAGGTTTTCTGAAATCTGAATATAAGATTTATGCAGATTTTCTGTGCAGATTCCAGACCCGCCCACTAGCACTGGGCATACATGTATAGCAGACGGACAGTGGATGTGTGTTTCCTACATGTAAACATGCGTTCTGATCAATGTGGATGACTAGAGAAATCTTTCAAGGACGTAATAAGTCAAACCAATGCACTGTATAATATTTAACCCCTCCCCACCCGGTCTGTGAGACAATTCATGAGTACAACGTCTCTTGTAGCAATAAAAATGGCAACACCAGCTGTACTATGCCTGTCAATCATATTCGTGGGTGACCATGTGGCATTGCTGGTTGATGGCAACCGGTGATATATACTACACTTTCACACTGAAGGGGGTACCAGTGGCAAATCACATACATTGTACTCTCTGCAATGTGAAAGCTGCCACTGGCTGTTTTTTTGTCACAGAACAGATTTTTATCACCTGACTGTTAACGGGATTGTTATAGAAAGGAATTTTTATCTCCCGATGTTACGAGGATGTCAGAATACAAACAAAGAAGTGAGGGATTTTTATTTTGCATTGTTGGAAACTGTCATACCAAATTACAATAGCTCACCTATAAAAGTGACAGCTTTATTGGATTTCACGTTATGTGAGTGAACAATACTATGCGCAATCCCAGCACTGTTTGCCACTAGTAGGGTGCCTCCCGGCTACGACAGAGATGTTCTTTTAATGTTTGGATTATTTTTCAAGTGCACCTTAAATGAGCTCAAATATGAAAGCAAAACAAACACCTCAACAGATTTCCTTTTTTCTCTTTTTTACGTAGGTTTTTTTTTCAGTGGGGGGGGGTTAGTTTTGATTTGAATGGCTGCCCGACCCAAAAACGCAGAACTGCATAATGACATCAGCGATCAGGTGCCCAGCTACCAAGCACAGACCTACCTTTGTCAGAATTTTGAATGAAGGAAAAAGCAGTTTGAAAAAAAATAACTAAAAAAAATCCTTAATCTTCGACAGGAAGAGACTTGGCGTGAATCCAAACCAGTAGTAGTTATGCTTGAAACAGTTATGACTAATTGGAAAACATGAAAATGATGTGAACAAACACAGGTGCATATATACATTAGGCATGTCACAAGGAAATTACCAGTGTTGTACATGTGCGTGGCATGTGTTTCAGTTTAGCCCTCCAGATCTTACTTTAATTTCTAGGGGGGTTTCCAACAAAACCTTAAAGTCACATTTGAAATATTTGAAATATCCCCTATTTCATAATCAAAAAATAATGTTTAGGTGAGAGATGACATTTAAAAGTTGAAAACTTGTGAGAAGTGAGATGGTAATTTTATTGAACTGCATATTTTGATCAGCTGTAATGTGTTTTATTCACACTTCATCTCCTTACTGGACAGGTTTTTGCAATTTAAATTAGAATTGTATGTATATTTTAGTGCTTTTAAATGTAACATATTTGTTTGATGTTGTGCAGCTCGTGTTTTAAGATTGTGCAATGTATATTGTTGACTTTGTATTGTAATTTTTGTGTACATGACTTTTATAAAACCGGGAAGGCAAATTTCATTCTTTTCTTTTTATACTCTGGAAGGAAATGACAATAAAACATCTATCTATCTATCTAAAAACTCCCTCTCCCAAATGCATGAATGCTTGGCAAAGAGAAGTGACAATTCACATTTGTAAAGAGGACAATATTTGTGCTTATTGTCCTTCAAAAATTTATAACAGCTGCAGATTTGACTGTCTTCTTGGTTTATTTATATGTACACGTAGTTGGAATACATTGTTCAATTTGACCGGGGTAACATTTACAGTCATAAAGATGGCAAAATCAGCCACAAATGATCAGTCACGGATGATTTTCAACCCCAGATGTAATGAGTCACATTTCGTCGTGTGCCCAGCAAAACATCGTAAGCGCGCTTACGCCCTTTTGCGCGGATGCATGATCTGAGTAGAAAAAAAGTTCCCGGTAAAAGGACGTAAGAAACACACTCTCTTTGTTTAGTAAAAACGGATAAACTTTACTACAAAATCAACACAGGGTGTGCATATTCTTCTTCCCAGCAAAAGGTCGTAAGCGCTTACGACCTTCTTCCGGGCTCACGACGATTTACTCCTTTGCCCACCATGGCTTACTTTTGTCAAGAAGAAAAGGGTTGGGAGTGGCAGAAGGGATGCCAAGAGAAGGAGGCCACCAGCATTTAGATGTGTCTCATTTCCTTGATGGACATGGACCTGCTTGCATCCCAGTCAAGCAGACCCAATTTGTACTTTACAAATGGCCTTGGTGAATCTTTTACATGTACATTGGGAGGGGCTGAAAGGGCCAATGCGGCCCAAATCAGTAAAGATGTCTATGTACGTTTGTAAATCAAATCCAACTCCAAAATGATATTAGCTCCACAAATCAAACCAAGCCCAACAAATACGAAGGTAAAACCAAGCCAACCCAAAACCAAACAGACTCAATATTTGAAAAAATATCTGGCTGTGCCAAACCATGCAATAATTCTGTCTGGTTTTTGTGCCTGAACCTATTTGTTTTGCATGAATTCGCCTGAAAAAGTCATTGCAAGAACTCAACTTCGGCAATACCGGTACAGAGATCTCATTTATACTTACGATTGGAGTATGAGTGGAAAAAGATTTTCACATCTGGGGCAACCTGGGCATTATGACTCGCCAGTACGTGTAGGTTGAACCATGTGAATGTTGGGGCTGTTTTGGTTGAGATGGCTAATAACCTAATCGACCCGAAAAATTGGAAGTGCAAAACCGAACATGACCCAGCCCGACTGAAATGGTGGCAAAACCAACCTGACCTGTAACGAACATCAGTTCTCCGTCCAACCACTACAAAATAAAAATTGAAAGGTTGAAAAAAAAAAGCTTTTTCCACAAAGTAGATCATTTTTGTGCTTTGGTTATAGGGGTGTCATTGAAGAGGCTATATTCCAGTGAGTGCACTCAGTACACTTCTGCCTGTAGGATTTGTTACAGGGTTGTGAAGCAAAAGCAGAAATCTTTGTCTGATTATCACCTTCAATACCGTGCTTGTTTACACCTTTTGGATGGAACAAAAGCTAAAATAATGATTGTAGAAATTGTTAAAATGTGAGGTTTGGATTATCAACAGGGATATATTTTCTGTTATACCGATTTTGGAAACCCCCCTCGTAAGAGTGGAAGAGGCAGACAGACCGTCATCTCTCATGACACATGACTACTTCCACCATGTCTACCCTTCCCTCCAAAAAAGTGCATCCTTTTTTTCAGGAAAGAAATTTGTTCCATGGAACAAATTTCTTTCCTGATAAAAAAGATTTATACCGGTAGTCAGTCTTTTGAATTTAATAGTGACTGACCTGTATTTATTCTAACCAACTTACATGTACAAACCTGCTGATGCAATCCTAGAGAAATCCCTGACCCTTCCCTAATCAAATTTCCTAAGTAAGTTCCTGCTTTCAGTATGACGCAAAATGCAGCTTGCTCTATCAAAATGAGGAACTGCCTGATCTTAAATAAAAATTCGGTTTTAGTTGCACTTCACGAATTTTTTTTATTGAGAATCTGCCCACTTACTCCTCATTTTGAGGGGAGCAGATGTGCAATCGCACCTGGGCGTCATTCATGTTAGTGGCCAACAAATGCTCAGTTCAAACATTCAGAAGTAGCTGAGTGTGCTTTTCACATTCACAAATGTAAAGCCACATGTACAAAAGTTCCTGAACAGTACTGGAACTGAATCGGTTTCAAATCATCAAAAATGTCAGGTACGGCACAATTCAGGGTTTCACTTCCTTCAAAGTTTTTCTTCAAAGTGAAACTTCAAAATGCCCTTTTCTCAGTGGAAAGTGATGGTTGTTTGGTGTCAGTGCTGCTGAAAATGACAGCATGCACTTTCAGTTCCCCCATTTCTCCCGCTGAAAACAATCCAGTATTTCTTGTTCACAACGAGGCGGAAAGTGAAAGTGCTGACACACTTTTTTCCAGACTCGAAATGGAGCATAAGATGAAAAACAAATACCTGGTACCCTTGCAATGTGATTATGTTATTTTTTCCTCCTGAAGCTTTGTTACCATGCATTAGTGTGTTGTTGTTTTACTTGTTGCCATTTGTAGGTGAAGACCTGCAGACAGTCCCAATGCAAGATGGGAAGGCATCCTTGATCTTCAGTGTCGGCGATAAGGTCAAGGTCATCCTGGAGGAAGATGTCCTGAAAGCCATGCAGGAGGGCCACGGAGGCTGGAACCCCAAAATGGCCGAGGTAGACCCACCCACTCGCCCTTCCACCCAAACTCCCTAGGTCCTTTCGCAAGGATGCGACTTCGTTTCGACAAACATTTCCATCTACTTTGGCATTATGCACCTCCATGCGAAAATGAGATAGGGCCTCAACCTCCAAACTCCATTCAGGGGTATGAAAGGAGTTTTGTACAAGTCATTGTAACCTAGAAAAATCCTCACTCCCCTATGCATTGGGCAGTGTTTAGAGGAGTTCAGTGTTTCAAGGAGACTGTGTATCATTTTTTTGATAGGTCACACTTTAGGCCACTGTTTCATGTACATGTATAGCAAATTCAGATTAGCCCAGGCACCTTTCCAGGCTTTCCTCCTTAGAGTCTTGTTCATACGCTGGATGTGCGCCTGGCTGGCTTTTTGCTTTTGTGAGATTACTGATTGTCCAACAGTGCTGTTTGCCCTGTTTGACTGTGGTTGGTAGGAGTGGGTTGTGTTCAGAAACAAATCTCCTTCGCCATGCCAGAATTCTTCAAAATCGTCATCACAGATGCAGTGAGAATTAATGTTTATGGACCAGTGCTGGTAATTTACAGTATAATCCATGCCCATGTTTATATCCGGTTGAGCATTGGCAATACAAGATTGGGCTCAAGACCTGGACTCAATGTATTCTTCAGACTCAGCGTGGGTTTTTACGAAAACCACCCATTGTGCAAGGATGAATCTGGAGGCTTGGGGAGGGTCGGGTTACTGTTAAAATGTCCCATTTTTAACCCCAAAAAGTGTTCTTGAACAAGGCTCTTGACCACCATTCAGTGCTGTAGTCAAGTACATTTAAATGAGAATTAGTGTGAGCTTATCTGCATGAATGTACCAAGTTCAAATACTTCACCAGGAGTGTGAGTACAACTGTCCAAACTACTCATTTTCATGAGTGAGTGCGAGTACAGAAAAGTACATGTACATGCATCTGAGTACAAGCTACAGCAATACTACATGTGCAACTGCTCGTTCTGAAGGAAGCTCACAAGTGACCCGCGAAGTCCTTCTGAACAGCTTGTGCATCCTGCATCACGCTCAAAGTGGGTGGGCAAGTCCAGCTGACTTGCTCCAAAATGACTCAGGCCGCACTCTTCTTCCAATATTCCCCCTCTGCTGTTCTTTTCAGTGCATTGGCAAGGTGGGCGTGGTTCACCGGGTGACGGAGAGGGGCGACATCAGGGTCCAGTATCCGCCCAACAGCATCAGGTGGACATTCCATCCAGGGTCGCTGAATAAGGTAAAGCAAAAATGTGCAAAAAAACAGGTGTATTTGTTAATCCCAGGCAAACCCTGTGGCAACAGTAGGGCTGTGACAGTTCTTCAGTTAACCAATCGTTTCATTTCCTGAACTGTGGTTTCTGTGAAACCTGGCTGATTTAGTTGAAGGATGTAAAGGAAAGTCAATGCCATTGTAAATCGTTTTCATGTGGAGGCAAATTGGCTCAATGAAGTTGTGTGAAATAAATCATACGTATGCAGTGTGTGTAGATGTCCGTCACTCTCGACAGTTTGAATTGGTGTTGCAAAGTTCAATCTCTAAGTGACCTCTTGACCCATTTGGGGTACTTTCAATAACCTGAGATGGTGTACTCACATGTAAACCCCTGACGACATCACAGGAACATGTCAATGTGAGGGAAGGAATTGAACGCACTGTTTCTATAGGAAGAAATTGAGCTGCACTAAGCTTGAGGTAATCAACTCAAGGAGACCAAATCCGTGAAAACGAAGCTTGAAGTCCAAGACAAAATCAAGACTTAGGATATAAGCACCAGTCACGACGGTGTTTAGGCCATGTCGGAAACACACTTGCAGAGCTCTAGCACGGTCTATCGTGAGGACCTCTCCTTGTATTTCCAGTGGAGTAAAGACCGAGACATAGATCTAGACAATAGATTCGGATGCAGCCCTATATTAACCTGTTCTTCGCATGATGACCTCCGTACCCCAACCCAGGACACTTCCAAGGTCGGCCAGTAAAGTGAATTCTAAATCATTCTTTTCTGCATGTTGATATAAGTTGGTTTTTTCACATGCTCAGGTGGATGCCTATGCCTCGGGCGACAGGGTAAGGGTCAGCACAAACATCTCCATGGTGAAGAAACTGCAGGTTGGACACGGGGAATGGAGCGACAACATGAAAGACGTAAGAGGCCTATAAGAACTGCTGCGGGCAGAACACACATAAAAGCATGATAAGGTCCACTTTTACTTAAACGTTAGCTGTAAGCAGAGACACAAATGGGTTTCCGTTTACGCAAAAGGTGCGAACGGCTAACTACAAAATCCCCACGGTAACAGTAGCACCACGGAGGAAAGACCGGAAGGCAAGACAAGGAATCATCCTGTCATGCCAGTCAGTATGCGACATCACACCAGTACCTAGCAAGACTGTTGATTGGCCTGAAGGCGCTGTCTCGGTGTGATATCTCTGACAAATTGCTCAGGTTTTTAAAGGCAGCAGTTTGTCCCGTGGTTTGTTCGCCGTCAGCGTAGACGGTCCCCTAGGGCACCCTTGTGTTCTTTCCAGTCGGTCGGAGTATCCGTCATCGCTTGCTGTGAAAATGGACCCTTAGATGTGTCGCAGAGTTTTGACCTCGTCAATCACAGTCTAATCGCAAATCTATTTTGAAAAACATTGCAGCACGTCACAGGTACATCACATGTCAATTCACATGGCAAATTAAATAGCCTTTCAACAGCACAACATAGTTCCGATGAAGAGCTTGTCATTTGGTCCTCCAATTTGCCTTGCTGCCAGCTTTGGCTTCATCAAACCTTGCTCTTTTCGACTACTTTTTGGCCATAATGTAGTCGCATTCCGCCTCTGTGGTGAGCACTCCTGGTTTCTGTCCAGTCAGAGAAGCTATTGAGGTTTAGTACCTTGCTCAGTAACAGCAGACTGGATGGCAATGCATTCATGCTCTTTTCCTCCCCCAGACTCTTGGCAAGACGGGCAAGGTCATCAAGGTCTACCCAGACGGTGACCTACGGGTTTCCATCGGTGACCACACCTGGACCTTCAACCCATCATGTGTCTCGCCGGTGGAGCCGGGCGCACCGGACCTCAACAACACGCTAGTGTCGGAAAGAGACGAAGAGCAGTCAGGTATTTGTTGTTAAACCCTAAAACAGCTGGGCTTTTTCGAACCTTCGAGGGGGAGTAGGCAGAACCCTCTCCTCCAAAGAGTTGACTGTCCAGTGCCTGATCTAGCTGAAACTGGGAATGCTCGTAAAGGTATTCATCGTCGGTATTATCTGGAGTTTCAATGCAATCCAACAGGGATTTGCAATGGTCTCTGAGATTTCAAAGATTTGTACCCTCCTTGGATCTCGTATGTCTCATGCCCGATTTTTTTCAACCTGGCATTCATGTAAGTGCACCATAAGTGCCTTTGTGGGTTAATTTTGGATTTTTGCCCCCGCCCGATGTATATTTTTAACACTGTGTACTCAGTGTATGCCCCCAAAGGCTGTTGAAAAAAAACACAAGCATACTCAGGTGGGACTCGAACCCACAACCTCCTGCTTACTAGTGCAGATGTCTTAACCACTTGACTTCCAAGCTTGCCGGTGTCGGCTGGCTGGTTCAAAGACACAATCGTACAAAACTGCCTATGGCAGGCCAACTAAACAAAATTGTATTTACACACGTGTTATGTCACGATGTTCATTTCTTTTTCATCTTTGTGCAAATTGTAGGTATTCTTCACCTTGCATTGGATCAGATCATATCTCATCCATCCAACAGCGACGCCCCAGCCAAGTTAGTCAGTGAGGCAGCTCAAGGGAACAAGCTGGCCGTGGCAGAAATCCTCAGCAAGCACTCTGACTGGGTGAGTGAGAGAAAAGAGAGATCGTGCAGCTTCTTTGTTTTCATGCCGGAAGAGCTGGTTGTTTTGGAATCGCACTGTTATTTCCTATTTGATCGCAGAGTATAAGCAGGCTTTTAGCAAGAAAGGTTGCTGAATTCAAGACCAATACAGTGCAATGGTAATTAATGCCTACTGCATGTTGGTGTCTCATCCGCAGGTGGACAGCAAGAATTCTGGCAAGACAGCCCTGCAGGTGGCCAGCCATCAAGGCCACCTGGAGGTCATCAAGGTGCTGCTCCTAAGCAAAGCCAGTCTGGAGATACAAGACCAGGACGGCGACACAGCGTTGCATTATGCCGTCTTTGGGTACGTCTTGGCGTTTTTCTCTCCTGAAAGCCAGACCACTTACTTGAAGAATGCCATTGGATATGGGGACAAAACAGATCTTGAATGTTTGAATCTACTGCAACTCTGCACATCCAGTCGGCCGTTCGCCTTTTCCAGACAATCTTTCTCCTACAGACCAACCCATCAAGCCCCAGCGTCACGGTCTTTCGGCCACTCGCAGCCGTGACTTGTGTCCAGCGTGCACGCCCAAAATTCCGGCGTGCCAGTATGAGGCGTGCAGCTGGAACCTGCAGCTGGGCATCAGAGAGAAATATGTGGCAATTGCTCTCGTGCGTAGTAAGCGGGGCTAACTGGATCAGTCTGTCGACATCAAAATGTGCATCTGTCCCACTGCTTTTCAATTTTCACGCAGCATAAAGTAGTCTTATTTATTGTTAAGAATTATGATACATGCAGTTTTCAAAATGAGGGTTACTCTTTACTTTTGTGTTGATGCCAGCCGTAGTTTACAGGCACAAACCTATGAGATCTTATCCAATCGCACCAAGGTTAACCTGACCACAGTTTGAAGCCATTCGCTGGAGCGTTATCGATCTCTCCTTTTTTTCTCCCCAGCAACCAGCCGGACGTGGTCCAGTACCTGCTCAACAAGAAGGCCAAGATTGACGCAGTCAACAACGGCCAGTGCAGCAGCCTGCACGTGGCCGTCAACAAGAGCTTCACGGCCTGCGTGCGCGTGCTGCTCCGCCACAAGTGCAACATCAACCTGCAGGTGAGGACAGGGTCGCCCCGGCGACCAACAAACCGCCGTCTGTTGTCTCTGCATTTCCACAAAAAGGCAGATTAGGCCATGGCTGTTTGTCTTCCGGGGGTTGACAAGCATCCAATGGCATTCTGGCCTGAAAACACTGTTTCTTGGAAAACACTAGACGCAAATAGTCACGAGTACAACTTGAAGTGTCCAAAAATGTTGATTTATTTCTCAGCGTATTTGCTGTTGAACCAGTCATCACCTTGCCAAGTCAGCTCGATCCAGTAGCGAATCCAGGGGGAGGATGGTGCACCCAGGGGCCAATTTCATAAAGCTGCTTAGGCACAAAATTTGCTTAAGCGGAAGAAACCCTTCATGAATTAGGTGACCAGCCAAAACTACATGTGATGTATATTGTTTTGGAATGGTATTTAGCTGTCTTTTGGTTAGCATGACAATCACATAGAGTTTAAGCTGGCAACCTTTGTTTTTTAAGCAAGGTTTTTTCGCGCTCAAGCAGATTTGTACTTAAGCAGCTCTATGAAATTGGTGCGAGCACCCACCTCCCTTATTTTGCAGGTTTTTTTTTTTTAAGGAAACACCTTTTCGTCTCCTCTCCCTGTTTAGTCTTGGGAGTTTATTTTAATCAATTTTAAGACAGAAGTTATCACTGAAACCCCTTATGCCGTGCACCCCCTTTGTAAATGCTGGATCCACTCGTAGGTCCTGAAAAGTAGGCGTGGCCAGGTTAGGTGTAAAAAAAATGATGATTTCATAAAGAATACATCTGAAATGTGGTATTCAGTTTTTTTGAAATCAGTTCAATTCAATTCGATTCACAGTTTTTGTGTCATAAAAGATTACAATCATAAAATGTTACCGTTTAATATACAATCCACATTTTAAAAAATATATTGAATATAAATGGCTTTTTTAAAGAATGAACATATATCTAAGGAAACCACGGGATGACTGTTGATTTCTTTTCTCTACACCCGGCAGGATTCGTACGGCGACACGGCTCTGCACGACGCCATCGCCAAGAACTGCAAGGACATCATCGACATGCTGACGGAGGTGGACGGAGCCGACTTCACGCTAAAAAACCAGCGGGGGTTCAACGTCATACACCACGCCGCCCTGAAGGGAAACCAGTAGTGAGTATCGCAGCTCGCGTGTCCTGCACCAGTTGTTCTCAGCCTGCCCTGGGTGTATCCACCCACGGCAGGAGTTCAATTGTGTAGAGCACTTTCACACTCCAACCCTATTTGATACCACAAAACTTATTAGTAAGCCATGTCTGAATGAACATTGGCTGCTGCTTGAAATTACACATACCTCTACGGGAAGTGGCTACAGGCAAAACCATAGACTATTATGTGATTTGGACACGGCCTTAATTTAATTATCTGTGACCATGTTAACCACTTGCTGACGGGGAACCCCGTTTCGAGCACCATGGGTTTATACACATAAACCTGCCCAAAACTGGACAAAGAGCTGGTCCATGTAAAAAAAGACCATACTCGGAACAAAGGACCTGCTGCTGGAAATTGCCATCATTTTTCAGCTTGCATTTTTGAAGGTAATCCGTCACTGTTTTTAAACGGTATACCACTGTTTTGGGCATAGCAGGCCCGTGGATTAGCACTGCAGACAAAAGTGCTCCAGGGCCTCATTGATGAGCGACATAGCGCCGCTGCATGCTAATCCAGCTGCATTTGAAAAGACGCTGCGGGCTTTCACTGGGAACAAAGGAAATTATGCAACACCTCACAATTCTGGGCTCTCTTTACAGGGCGGCAGGCCTGGCTGAAATATTCAGGAGTCAATGAAGGTTGCCTGACAGCTTAGAGTAGACACCAATTTGACCAACAGTCATTCGTGTGGGTGAACGTCCATTAAATGAAATGATGAATTTTTGAAGAATTTTGAAAACGTAAAATCTTGAAAATCTCCCGTATGTGTGCACTGCATTTTTAACCACTTCCTGCCTTGGACTCCGGATCCGAACACGTATGCTTTATATTCGTGGCCGGGGTCTCCGAACTCGGACGAAGGGAATAGGGCCTTGTAACAAAAGACCGTACTCGGAACAAAAGACCAGGCTGCTGGGCATTACCAACATTTTTCACTCTCAAAAGTGGAGACAATCCAGCCTTGTTTTGAAACAGTATACCACGATTTGGGGCATTTAGAGCGAGCGGATTACCACCGGGGACAAAAGCGCTCCACCACCGCAGCGATGAGCCACGCAGCACCGCTGCCTGCTAATCTGGCCCCTATTGAAAAGAGGTCAGCAGTGCACTGAGCCAGGTTCATGTACAAAAGAATATTACGTAACACCACAAATCTGGCTCTTTTTACAAGGCTGCAGGCGTCAATAGATTTTGTCAGTCGGGTTAGAGTGGACACCAGACATGCCTTCACGTGTTTGTAAGTGTCCAGTAAATGAAGATAGGAATTTTTAAAGAATTTTGAAAACAGACAAAAATGATAAATATCCCACCCCAGCATCATCAACATTGATAAATGCCCCGGCAGGAAGTGGTTAAAAGCATCTGGCAGCAAGTGGCTAAGGCCCAGCTATAGGTCCTTGTCAGGTTCAAACCTGTCTAGGGAGATGTGCTGTAAAGATCTTCATATGGGGGTTCTGAAAGGGTGAAGACGTGTTTCAATTTCATTAGCGGCTTACTAATAGTTCACCACACCAAAACCAGTAGTACCTCAAGTTGGACTCTCTCATATGTGCACTGACTGTATTGATGATGATCATGATTAAAAAAGCAGAAACTTAAAGGGTTTGAATCAATGAAAGACAGAAGCCAGAGTTCATTAAGACAGAAGTCTTGTTCAACATGTCTACTTGCGTAAGCATTTTTCCCATAGACCTTGCAGTGGCACTGATTTGTATGCAAACTATTAGCCCCCCAAGTTACTCACAATTTGCTCATCCAGCATTTCTGCAACACTGGGGAGTCCACATAAAGTTCAAATCACTGAGCTAATAGATACCACCTGGGTTCCCCACTGCCGAATAATGTTGAAGGAACTTTGTACCTCTCCACAGCGCCACAGAGAAGCTGGTTGTCAAGGCCCGACAGCTGGTCAATTTGAAGAAGGGCGATGGGTTCTCGGCCCTCCATCTGGCGGCCTTGAACGGACACCGGGATGTTGCCGAGGTCCTCATCACAAGGGTCAGTGTAGATTGCAATGAGCTTGTGGCTAGCCAAAACCGGCAGTTAAAATGTCTCTCAAGAAAAATCCACCCGGCAGGAAGTGGTTAATGTGGACTGGTGAACAAGAGATGTCCTAGGAAGACATTCTGTGGACTTACACATGTCCACAGGATGTTTCCTCTTCTCTGAAAAAGAAGTTTGGAGGTGTTTTGGGGTTAGGGTTATCCCTCATACAAGGAAGAGGAAAAGTCAAGGAAATATTTTTACCAAAATCCAGCCGAAATTCATGTTCCCACTTCGAGAAAAATGAGTGTTTTCATCGAGTTGTCCTTAACTGTATGAAAACAAAGGAATGTCCACACTAGATTGCAACGTACGCCGGTGCATGTAGATGTGTCCATAAAACATCTTTGTGCTCTGCATCATGTGGAATTCGCTTGTTCTTAAGTCCAGATAACACATGGTAAACAAACTCACACGTTGTTACCTGCCTTGTGTTGGCATTACTTTGTTTTCATGTTGTTTAACCCCTTCATGCCATGATTCTTTTGACTGTGACTGCTGGGCTGTGATATGCCCTGAATGGAGGGCTTTGTCCAGCAGCTGGCCCCATTGAACCAGCAGCTGCATGGTGAATAGACTGTATATGTGGTATGCACTAATCCTCACACAAAGCCACGGCTGTGGCCGGCTCCCGGGATGAAGGGGTTAATAGATCGGTGAAGATATTCATTTTTTCTTCAACTGTTTGCACTATTTGAGCTGGATTTTTATGATGATTTCCTTAACTGTGCTTCTTCATATAGCAACAGTTGTCCCTAGTCCCAAAGTACCTCTACAACAGTTTTCCAGAAAGGGGTAAACTTGTGTGGACCCAGCTTAGTCCACAGAAGGTTCACACAACCTGCATATAATGAGGACCTCTTTGGTCCGCATGAGGTATGTAAGATTTGTGCAGTGGCATACGTGTGCGAAATAATGAAGTAAAATTTGGGGGTGGTTTTTGTTTCTTTGATCCAGGGTCAGGCTGACATTGACATCCAGAACAATCGCAAGCAGACGCCGCTGCTGCTGACCGTGGGCCAGGGCCACACAGCAGTCCTGGAGCTGCTGGTCTCTAAAGGCGCCCACGTCAACGCCGAGGACGAGGACGGAGACACCAGCCTGCACCTGGCCCTGATGAGGCAGAGCGTCTACGCCACGGCAGACAGCACGCCCATCCTCTCTAAGGTAGAGGGTTTTTAATATACCTTGAATGCCGCAAACAGTGGTATGCTGTTTCAAAACAATGACAGATTACCTCTGCTAATGCCAGCTGAAAAATGATGGTAATTCCCAGCTGATTGATTTTTTGTTCTGAGCATGGTCTTCTGTTACAAGGCCAAGCTCCGTTGTCCGATTTCGGGCACCCCGGCTATGCATCAAACCCAAGGTACCCAGTACTGGGAACCCCTGAGGCAAGTGGTTAACCACTTCCTGCCTTGGACTCCGGAATCGGAGACTTATGCTTTATGTGCGTGGCCGGGGTCTCCGAACTCGGACAAAGGAAACAGGGCCTTGTAACAGAAGACCGTACTCCGAACAAAAGACCAGGCTGCTGGGCATTATCGACATTTTTCACTCTCAAAAGTGGTGATAATCCAGCCTTGTTTTGAAACCAGGGTTTGGGGCATTTATAGCGAGCAAATTACCACCGGGGACAAAAGCGCTCCACCATCGCAGCGATGAGCCACACAGCACCGCTGCACGCTAATCTGGCCCCTATTGAAAAGAGGTCAGCAGTGCACTGAGCCAGGTTTGTGAACAAAAGAAAGTTACATAACACCACACAATCTGGGCTCTTTTTACAAGGCTGCAGGCCTAGCAGAAATTCTTGGGCGTCAGTGAAGGTCACCTGTCAACTTAGAGTAGTGCCTAAAGAGTACTCCTTGTGGCTATAAACGTCCGTTAAATGAAATGATGAATTTTTGAAGAATTTTGAAAACGGAAAAAATGATGGTCATGCCGGCCCAGCATCCTCAACGTTGAAAAATGCCCCGGCATGAAGTGGTTAATAATGTTTATGCAACAATTTAACCTTCATTAGTTACTCGTTACTTTGCTGTATCCAGATTCGCTCATCACTACCTCCTAGCGACAACAACATTGGCACCGGGCCAGCAGTTGCCTGCTACCTGACCATAGAGGGCGCCAACCTTCAGCTGCGGAACCACCTGGGCAAGACACCACTGGACCTGGCGGCCGCTGCCCAGCTGGACAGCCTCCTCAAGCAGTGTGCCGAACTCAGACAGTACGTGACTGGGAGATTTTTTTTTAAATATATTTTCCAACTAGCATTTTTTTCGGAGCATTGGTGCCTAGGGCGTAGAAAACTACTTGTTCGAGCCCTGCAACATATGCCTCATGCAGAAATTTCAACTGTTTCAGAATTTTCAAACCTGGGTCGCTGGTTATTTAAAGCCAGACCGCGTCAGTGGTATTGTGTGTTGTGGCCTTGGGCAAGTCACCTCACCCCTGCTTGTCTCTCTCCACCCAGGAGTGTAAATGGGTACCAGCATTAGCTGGGGGAGCCAACCTGCGATGGGCTGGCATCCCATCCGGGGGGGGCAGAAATATTGTTAGTCATTTCATGCCAAGGAAACTGGAGATAAACACCAGCCTGATGACCCAGATGGCTCAGAACTGATAGACTTGTCAGCGACAGCTCAAAAAAATAACGGCACATCCCCTTTATTAGTGTGAAAAATTAGCCTTCTCTTGCTGGATGACCTGAAGTAAAATTCACTTGTCATTTCAAGGTCGCAAAACTTTTAGAAGTCAGTAGAGTGAAATGGAAATGTAGTATTTCCGTTTTTGCTTTTATCTTCCTGAGTAGACGGAGGCTGGGAGAGCTGCCAAAAAACCCTCCCAACCTGAAACAGAAACCGGCGAGCAGGTCAGCACCCAAATCAGCCAGTGCCCCATTGCCCGGTGACCTGGCGGCGAGCAGGGCGCCGGACAAGCCGCCCGTTGCCCAGACAGACGGCGGCAACCTGCAGGCCATCATGACCCAGTGCCGCATGTGCCAGAACCCGGCTAACTGCCAGTTCCGGCCCTGCGGCCACCAGGCCACCTGCATGGAGTGTGCCAAGCTCTTCCAGAAGTGCTTCATCTGCAAGGTGAGCGGTCATATAGTTGATTCTGTAAAGCAAGAAAACAAAAAAATGGCTCGGCGGAAATGGATGAACTCCCACAGTTAAATTTCACAACACAGCTTTCCGCCAAAGAGATTTCACTTGCGGAAAATAGCTTAGCTTTGGATGGTAACCGTTGGACACTTCGTGTTACAAATGTACTCCATGTGAGCTGGTATTCCAGGTGATCTAGGACGGATTCAGAGAGGTTCAAGTTTGGGCATGAACTATTGTTTGACCCCTCACCAGTAGGTTTTTAACAGCACAGTCACACTCCAACGACCTCATTATTTAATTTCCAAGATTGAAAAAGTACTGCGAATTACCTGCCAAACTAATAAAAATAGTTTGAAATCAACTTCAGTGAGATATCCCCTGTCAAAGTATACATGTCAGTGGTAACAGGGACGGAAAAATGTTAAATGTCAGACCCCAAATTTATAGAATAACCCACCTAAATTTTGCCCTTTGCTGCAATTGTCACTGCACTCATGATCAATTACATTTCGTAAGATAATTTTCACATGAATGGTTCCCTCCATACTGACAAGTTGAATGGGCTGTTGATAAACCCTAGCGGTGTCACCACAACCCAGAGCCTGGTTCCTAATAGTCGACTCGGTAGTCCAAACCATCCATCCTTCTGATGGTTGTTGGTCAGGTCATGTTTAACTACAGCCAGTGCTCAAACCTGCCCCGTGATTTTTCCCCAACCAAATTTTCTTTAATTTAGCTCTGGCATTGACATAACAAAGTGCAAACAACTTTAATTTCCGCATCTTGTCAGATTAAGCACGGTTGGAGTTCGTATCTCTATACAAACTGCTACATGTGTGTGGTTTGTGATAAACAGTGCCTTTTGTCTTAAAAAAAAGACAGAATCACAAGGGGGAACATTCAGTAACACAGTGCATATGCTTATAGGTGTTGGTACACGCATACAAGAAATAATGTGCAATTAAACCTGTCTGGTCGATGTTCAGCATTAGCAAAAACTTTTACATAATCACAGCGCGGCAGTCGCTCAGCTTAGCAAAACAACTTTAACGAAAAGCAACACTATAGAATTTTAATCTGCGCAAGATTTTTTGCCGTAAATGTCGTGCTTAATGCTAACTACAGAAGGGTGTGTGTATATTCATCTGAAGATCTCTGTGATGCCTTACCCTTTACCAGTTACATAAAACAATGCTCTGCTGCAGTCATAAATTTAAAAATCCTATATCCTTCATTTTATATCCCGTGGCTGTGCGTTGAAAGGTCACTTTGCAGGTAAGGACGAATGAAGCATACATCAAAGTAATTCCTTTTTAGCTTTTTGTTTATGTTGCAATTGTTGGTAGTCACATAAACTGTGGTGCAGTATATTGACATTTCCTTTTAATTTTGGTTTTTAAAGGTACTGTTTCTAATTTCTTAAGCCAGATTTGTATCTGAGAATTGTTTTAGATAGTTGTTGACGAAAGCAAAACTACCCTTTGTATTGCGTGTTTGCATGTGAGCATGTTGCGTGTTCCTTCAAAATACCGTGCATGCTTCTTTTTTTTCTGTTAGTCCGTGAGTAGTAGAATTTTTTGGGGGGGAAGATGTTTAACTGTCTCTGATGGTTTGAGTGTGTGAGCATTGGGACTGACCTACTTCTTGCCCCCTCCCATGCCCTATAGTCCAGCCCCAAAATAGTCTGACACCATCCTATTTGACAGATTACACTGAATAACATAAGTTCAGGGAACAAGATCAAAACGATTTTCCTCTGAATAAGATCTATTGGTTTCACATCTACACTGTATAATACAGAAACAAAATTGGAAAGCAAATCCCTTTCTTTTAGAAACTAATGAAACTCTCAATGTGTGCCCTCTCAAACTGTTTCATTTACCACAGTTTGTAGTGTAGGAAAGTTAAAGCTTCCAGGCTTCACATACTTTGCCTTTTCTTTTTATACGATTGTATTTTGTTTTTCCTCGATAAATGTAGCTGCCAAGTTGAGATAGCATTTGTCACCGGTATCCCTTTTGTACATATGCAAACATTTGTTTCAAAAAGAAAGGGATTTGCTTTCCAATTTTGTTTCTGTATTATACAGTGTAGATGTGAAACCAATAGATCTTATACAGAGGAAAATCATTTTGATCTTGTTCCCTGAACTTGTGTTATTCAGTGTAACCTGTCAAATAGGATGGTGTCAGACTATTTTGGGTCCCGTGATGTTGCTCAAAACATTTAGATATAATAAATCACAAATTGCAAATTATTCATCATTGTAATAAAATTAATTTGCAATGAACTCTCTTCTCATTGCTTTCATTTTTATTGTTAGGTTCCCAAAATAACAAAAGTTAACATCGCTTTCAATTCAGTAAGGCCGACTAGTGATTACAGTGTCCACAAAAGCCCTATCATTGTTGCATAGACCCAGCTTGGCCTTGCTTAAAGTGGACGAACGTTTTTCCAATTTTTATTTTATCCGATGGTTTGCTGCTTTGCACAGGAACCTGTGACAGAGGCTTTCAAACTAGACGAGAACAACAAGTGCACCCTCTGTAGTTCAAGGAGTGCAGAGGTCACCTTCATTCCCTGTGGTCACCGGACAGTATGCCAAGGTAAGAGCACACTCAGTGGTCCAGTGCACTGGTCCATTTGGCAATGTTCCATGGGCTGCAGTCCAACCCGAGCTGAAGGGCACCCTCACTGGCAAATTTCCAGTCCAATTTTTGAAGTGGCCACAGGACCTGGGCCCAACTTCATGCAGGCCCAAGCATAAAAAAAGCAGGTTACCAGCCAAATTATTTATCTATAGATGTGTACTGCTCTCAGCTGGTGTACTGCTCAATTTTGCTCATCACATGGTCTACCCAAGCAGTATTTTCTTCCTAGTAGTCCCACATGGAATTGGATATACGTGGCTTGTGTCCTTGAGCAAGGCACATTATTCTGTTTCCATGTTGTCTCGGGCTTCATTCACGAAGTGAAAGCAAGGGGTTGAGTCCATGTCACACACTATTACAAATTCATATGCTAGCTAAGCTTTGACGTGGATTGGTCCACACCAACAGTTACTGTCATCTCAGCTTTCAGGTGCCTGTGCCCTGGAGCAGGGTTCAGGTTTGTTCCACAGGCTAGACACTGGGCCAGGCATGGTTCTAGGGGGGGGCTCTAGCCCTACCAAATTTTTGTGTAGCCACCCCCCCCCACAACACTGACGGCAATAGCAAAAGTTAAAATGGGACATCACCGAAAGTTAAAAGTTGGCTCTAGAACCGCGCCTACACTGGGCTCAGGTTTCAGTGTTCAAGAGCGGCCACATTCTCGTTGCTTCTGTCAACCCGTTCCAAAGCATTTTTACTTAAATGCTATGTTCCTTTTTTTGCTTTTCTCACAGAATGTTCCCACAGACTCAAAGAGTGCACGGTGTGTAAGAAGACCATCGTAGAGAAACTCGGAAAGGGTGAGTTCCTGATGGTGAAAGTGCTTATCTCCCTCCGGTCTGCTTGTTTTCAACTAAACTTTCTTTTGAGTGCTGTGACCCAACTCGACAAACTAAAGTTGGAAGTTGCCAGAACTACTTCCGACTAACAGATTAATGACCAACTCATGCACCACGGAACTTTGCAGCATTGTTACCTTCTGTCATTTTAACTGCAATATTAGGAGGTCAAACTGAGCGGTGTGTCACAAGCGCGTTGGCCAATCACAGCGCGCAAAAATCTGTCAGCCCTCTCCAAACGTACATTGGGTCAACTGCTTTTGCTCACTGTGATTGGCCAACATGTTGCAAACTCTTGGAGGGGCACTTTTGTGAAACGCCCCTATAACGAGTTAAGAAGAGAGTACCGAAGTGTGACGTCACTGTGAACCCGAAAGTGCAGTGCAAACGAATGGAGTACGCGTGGGTGTTGGTTCACGTGCTGGTTCTCGCGCTAATGCCTTTTACACACTAATTGTGCGCGTGACGTATTCACTTCAGTACTCTTTGGTCACTGCATAAAGAAGCAAGCGATCGCATGCTGAAGACTAGCGGCCAATTACATCAAACTTTGTGCTGTCCTTTAACTGCACATCTGCAAACCTTATCGCGTAAGTTGTGCAACAAATCATGGCACGTGTGGAAAAGTTAGGCACTGCGTCGATTCAGACTTGCACTACAAATCACTGCTTAATTCATGTCATTAATTTAGGTGGTGTGAGCTGCACCAAACAAGCCAGAAATGAACGATTGTATTTAATGATTCATGTCCATTTAACGCTCACCATTGTTCAAGTTTACTAGGTTTATAAGAAAAAATGAACAATTTCTTTGAAGGGAGCAGAAAACTTGTTTGGCCGCCCAGTTCCAACAAAGAAAATACGAAACCCTTTTTCACAGTGGCAGATGGAGCTAATTCAAAGACTGTTTAATTGCTATTACACTGATAAGAAACAGCCGTGGTAAAAGCCATGATTGTCAATGTTTGCTGTAATTGAAATGTCAGGTTGCTAACCGACTCTTTGTGAAATCGACCATAAGTATACTTCACGGCATTTTCAAATATTTGTGGTGTAAGGCTTATGTATGATGCAAAGTTTCGCCAGATTTCATGAAATCGGCTGCAGTTCCTTTCGATCCAGCTACATTTGTACCTGGCAGATTTTCTCAAGCAAACGCTTAAAGTGCCAAGTTGGAGAAAATCCGCCAATTTGAGGCCATGTCCACATCAGGCGCGTTGTGGCCGTGGCTGCTGTTTTTTTACATGAGCATGCTCTAGTGAGTAGCCATAGCCACAGACAGCAATGCTTACTTCAGTACCTGTTTAGAAGCAAATAAAAAAGGACCTCACGCAGCATTCCCTGTCGTGCGATTTGTCCCTTCACCGCATGAAGATCATAAGAATGACAACTGCCCTTGTTTGGAGCCCAGTGCCAACCTTGTTTGATAAGCTTGGACCATCCGCTCTGTGCATAGTCAGTTGAGGGCGCCAGCTGCATAGCAACAAGATATACATATGGGGATTTGCTTAGGTGCAAGTTTTAAATAAAAAACATTGAGCCGTTGTTGGTGTGCCAGCAGTGGATAAAAATAAGCCGTTCAGATGGTGAGGGGAAAAGCACAAAAACCCAAGGCCCTTAAAGTACCTGCTGTTTTATGCCAAACTTTTCCTCATGCAAAGAAAGTCAAGCTCCCCGCATCTGTGACATTCCAAGTTCCAATTGTAGTTATTTTCATGGATCGGGCACTTTTTCATGCCACCCATAGTCAAACCAGCAAGTTTTCCTCCTCAGAGTAGCTGATTTGTATTGCACTTTTCCAACTGAAAAGCACCTTACAAAAATCTAGTGCAGCTTAGAATTCCCTCATTTCACACCCCTGACTTGTCAGTCGCATGCCTGACTGTTTACCATTGTCATTGGTCCACAAACAACAATGCTATTCCTGTACTCTGCAGTATCCAATCTGCGAAGTTTCAGAAAGGTCCCTTGTCAAATCGTGCATTGACACAGGTAGTATAGGAACCGGGTACCATACTGTGGTAAAACATGGGTATCTGGGTGTGCCCATAAACATATACTACAAAAGAAAAAAGAAAAAAATACTTTTGCATGACAAAATACATTCAAAATGTCCATTTTGCCTTTGCCTACAATTCTCGTCAACAACCTTAAAAAATCAACCTTGATTTTTAACTATCTCCCCGTAAAATACCTTTTGAAATCCTTTTTGCAGTGTAAAAAGTATTGTGTAATTTGTTCATTTGGTTATGAGGACCCAGCCCCACAATTTAGACCCAGTTCCTGACATGAAGTGTTTGGTATGTAAGTACTCGTACCAGGTTCCATGCCAGTGCACAGCCCTGCTAGGCATTTTGGGCTAATATTATAGAGGAATCTGGTGACCGTGATACATTAACTTCATCACTGTCCATTTAGTGTGGCCCCCACCAATGGTGGCAAGCACTATGATGACAACAGAATGAAGACACCGTTCCATTACGGCCACTCTGTGCAAATCCCAGCGCAAGGCTTTCTGCCATTATAGGGGGCCATCAGGAATGTCCGGTTGTGCTCCCTTACAAAGGTCATTTCCTCGTATCCACCGCTGTAGGCCCGACCATGCACAGAGCAGATGGATCAGCCATAACCAAGCCTCACCTTCATGACCGTAACCGCTCATCACAGTTTTTTTCTGTTTGCTCCTCATTTTGACCCACCCTTTCATTCTCCTCTTCTGCATGCACACTCGTTCTCACCGACGCTGGCACCATGCCCCACACCCAACTCATGCTCTTTGTTTTTGCGGCTCAACCAGATGGCCGCCAAGTCTCCACCCGCCGGGGGTCTGCACCAACAATATCAGCCTCACCCAAAGGGAGTAGTCCCTCATCCGTGCCCCGGCACAAAGGTGTTGTGACCCCCTCATCTCGTCTTTGTCTTCATATGTTTTTTAGGTCGCTCTGTTCTCAAGTGAAATTAACACTGATTTGGGAGTATCACCCAACCGTAGATCATTTGGATCCTTCAGTTCCAAAGAGACATAAACAGACTGCGCTGTTTGTTTGTCTAGTTGTTTGGTTATATTATTGCCTTTTTTCACCTAACCTGCCTGAGTTTTGACTGGAAGTTGCTGTGTTTCTGACCCAAGACATTAACTCAAACTCAAGGCCAACCAGAGTCATTGAGTGGAAGCATTGACTCAAACCAAAGGCCTGATTCACTTTTATTAACATCTTTCCTCGAAAGTGGTACAAGATTCGAACCAGTCTGCCGACACTGGCACAGCTCAGTTGCCAAGTGGTCGAGACATCGGCACTGGTAAACGGGAGATCAAGGGTTCAACTCCCACTAGAGCAAGTTATGCAACATTTATTACATTTGCTTGGGAAGGGCAAAATCCTGAAAAAGTCTGTCAGGCCCTTCTGTCTTAAGCCAATTTCCAAGCAATTCAAATGAACTGTGACAGAAGCATTCCTTTGTCATTGTTCACCCTGCTACTTATGACTGGTCTTGTAAGAAACTTGTGACTGAACTTGTAAAGGGACTTGTGAAAGGACTTTGCGATGGACTGGACTCCAACACTGCTTGGAAATAACCAAATACATACTGCTGGAATGTCCTGAAAAGTCGAAGTGTGTCTTATCGCCGTCTTTATCACAACTCCTCCCCCAGGAGGCCTCATGGATTTCTCTTCCTCTTCTAATCTCACTTCCATCTTTTGGATTTTGTTCCCTCCCCCGCCTACACCTCACTGTGTATCTTCAGAGCTGGCCACCGCCACCCACCCCAGCTCCAAGGAGGTGCAGGAGCTGAGGATGAAGATGCAAGAGCTGGAGGACGCCCAGCTCTGCAACATCTGCATGGAGCGCAAGCGGGACACCGCTTTCCTCTGCGGTCACAGCACCTGCAAGAAATGCGCCAAGCCCCTCAAGCAGTGCCCCATCTGCCGCAAGCCCATCACCAAGAAGATCATGCTCTTCACGTGACGGATCCGCCCTCCGCCCCTCACCTCCCTCCGCCAGGGAAGGCATAGATCAGGAATTGGTTCTCTTTTCCCGGTCGTCCGCTTGATTTTTCAAGCTTGGACAGTGGTTGTGGAAACAACACCCACGTAGGAACTTAGATGTTGCAGGAACCCAAAAATGTTACTGGGATACTTTCTCCCCTAAAATCGACCTCAACTTTCCCCCGTACGCACATAATTGTATACGTCAGTTTTTATTAGCATTTCTGGAATATAAAACCAAGGATTTCTCCAGCGTTCCCCAGGCATTGTAGCTTGTAAGCCTAAAGAAACCTGCCGAGAGGAGACAATGAGAAATAGTTACAGACGTAAAGGGAGAAAGAAGATCCTCAGTGAATATTCCAGGTGAAACCAATGGAGTCAGGTTGGGACTGCAAAACCCAATCCACATATGGATCAAGTTCGAAGCTTGAGCCTGGGCCGCAGAGGGAAAAAAACCACTGTGGCAGTCTAACGTCCCTATTCAATTCTGTCAATTGGATTGACTCTATGTACTGAGCACGCACACGTGCGAATATGCACGCCCGCCCTCTACAGGACAATGCAGGGACTGCTACGCCAATCATCCAAGAGCACTTTGCTGCCCTCAAATTTCCCCTAGAAAACAAATGAAAACATCAAGAAAGAGATATGACAAAACAGTTGCTGGCCTCGGGAGCTATGCATTCCTCCGGTTTTCAAAACGTCATATGCCACATTACTGCAGTTGGCAATTGTTCAACGTATCCTGCAACACCACCTCCAAGGCAGGACTGGTCTGTAAGCTTGTCCATATCGCTAGTCCAAAGCGTTCACTAGTGAGGGTGTGCCAGTGCATTGTGGGCCATACTTCCCTACGTGTTGCTGTGTTGAACACGTCCCCGCTCTCTCTTGCCCTGACATTGAATCATTTGCATATTCCAAACATTGTGGATGCCCATGTTAATGATGAATAATTTGGATCCCAACGTTGGTTTTAGGCAGCATTATTTTGTCAGCACCATGTGTGTTTGGTGTCAGCATCATTATATATGTGTTGTCGGGTATAAAAACACTTCGTCCTCTGGGACAAAAACCATGTGTTTTTTTTTTCAAACTTACAGTGTGAAATCTCATGCAGTCAATGTGCAGAGTCACATTTCACATTTGTACTGTCAAAATTGAGAAAGAAAGGAACGTTTTTCCGGGAACGTGAGCGTAATCATTCACACCAAGCACTGAAACAGGTAATGCACGTTGGAATTAGCAACACCAAATACACAGTTTAAATCTATTCTCCAATGTTGTGTTGTATTGGCGCAGTATTACTGGAAGAAAGCTACACACATCCAGGAGTTTACTGCTGTTTGTGGTGAGCCAAAAGTGTGTTTTGGTGACAAGGCCTGTCCAGAATTCATTTACATTGAATTCCCCCATAGATCCACGTCTGGACAAAAGACTGTTTGTTTCCTAAGTGTCATTCAACGTAAATTTGAAACTTCTTTGAGTTTGTATTGCTCAAAACTTGTAATATAGCGATTTAAGAAAAAATTTGAGATGGACTGAGATTTTTGTGCTTCCAATTTCTAAAATTGGGTCAACATTATCCACACTTAAAATAGGGAGAGATATAAAAGTGTGTATATTTTCCTTTTACTTTTATGTACTTGGTGAACTGTGGCCGTGAAATTGTAGAATAGATTTGTAACAAACCTCTTTGTTACAATTCTTTATTGTGTTATAATTCTTTATTGTGGTATGTTGTAATGCCTTTATGAAGACATGAATTCTACATTTTACATGATTTACAGCTTATGCATATTCATTATTTTGGCATATGCCTTGGTTGCCATGGTTTCCCATGGTGATCACCGTGGCAACCCATTCAGAAAGCATAGCATTTAAAGTCAAACGCCATGGCCACCTGTCACATTGTCAAAACAAACGTACACAGCTGGGGAGGGGGGGTTGCCAATCCCCTTTATCGGCCCAACTTGGTCAGATGGCGTGAAACGCCTGTTTTTGTCTACCTTTTTTTCTCACAGTGCCTTTATCTCTTTTGTAACAAATTTCTTGATATCTACTGCCTTTGAGTCTCCAAAATTACACTTGATTTTTCCAGAATTCTCCCCAAGTAGAAGAATGGTTTGTGAAGCAGAAGAAGAATCTGTTTAATTGCCCTATTTAAGGCTTTTTAGTTTGATTTTTAGTCACTGTTTTACTCCCTCCCCCCCAAAAGAAATCGGCTTTTCACTTTAAATGAGTTGCTTTCATTCCAAAGTTATAGAGAAATAATATGTACAGAAAATTGACGTAAATATATGTATTCAGGTGGTGTAAGTAATTAAAGGATTTAACAGCTAGGACATGTGAGTGTAAGGCCCCCCCTTAGAACTTAGAGAAGGAAAACAAATCCAGTGACAGTCCACCTTTTGGTCAAGGCTTCAACTGTGGCCAAACCCACACACTGCACCCTCCAGAAAATGAGTTCCCCCCCCCCGTTCCCTCTGCGCAATGTACTCCCGTTACGCAACTATATGATAGGCTTATGCTTTTCTCAGGTTCGAATGTAATTTGGGGGAGGGGGCTGGTCTAAACACCAAAGGTTTCCCGTGTCCAAATATCGACAGGGTGTGGCCGATTGTTACACACGTCTGTGGGAAGTGATTTGAAGCACTAGCCACCGTTTCCAAAGCCACACCGATTACATGTATATATGTAGCAGCAGATTTATTCTTGGGAATGGACATTTTTTTTATCCAGGCCATTCGTTAAATGGTTTTTCTTTGTCTTTGGTCTGTGTTCAAGGTCCCCCGCTGTGAACATTTAGGCTCATTTTTTAGTTATTGTGTTAAGTTGCAAGGACATCAGACCGCATAAAATGGAGCTTTTTATATCAGTCTGAGAGCATTTAATGTCTGCAGATTGAACTGGTGCCAGAGCAGAGCTTTAAAAGGGCAGCTAGGCTACATATGGCCATAGTGATACATAAGTCCAAGTACAAGCCCTGATCAAGACGTTGTACGTAGCACTAGACCTTGAGTTCAGGTGTATTGAAGCAAAGTGGCATGATTTAGATAAATTGTTCATCAAGAAGCTTTTAAAGTCGTACCAAATCTGTGAGGACATTGTGTAAGAGAACTAATCAATTAGAGTCGTGCATTGAAAGCAAGAAAATTAAATTGGCGGATACATGTATTTCTCATTGTTGGAGGGAAACAGTGCACAGGAAATGACACCTTTTTGCCTTTGTGAAAGCTGCCGTCTTACAATATTCCTTAGAACATCTGATGTGACTTGGTTTTTCTGACAACCTGTTGTGTTTCCTTTTTTACTGGGCATTGGCTGTGTATTTCCACACGGAATATTTGTGTACAATTTCTATATGAAGTGGGTCAGATTTACTTATAGTCAAATGGATTTGTTGATGAATGGGCATTTTTCCTGTTCTGGTCACTGCTGGTTTTCTTAACATGCTATTGTCACTGGCAGGTCTTGCCTCTCAAGAAACACTGATTTTGTGGTTTTTCTGGTCACTTGAAGCCCGTTTGAAAGAAAAGGTTTATGCAAACTGTGAAGTGGATCAAAAATTGCCCAATGATACTTCCATGGTGAAGTGGGTCGGAAATTGCGCTATGATACTTCCATGGTGAAGTGGGTCGAAAATTGCCCGATGATACTTCCATGGTGAAGTGGGTCTAAAATTGCCCTATGATACTTCGATGCGAATCCTCGCTCAGTGGGGGTCAGTTGAAATGCTAGCCCACTTTCTTGAAGCATGTGTTGTCAGTTTCAGTGATAAGATACCGGAGAACTGTGCTAGAAGTCATCTCATACCTAGCCTTCCCCAATCATTGGCACAATTTATAGTCCTCTTAATTTGATTGCCAGGCCCCATATGATCTTATACTGTATGGTATACTCAAAGTTACAGGAAAGGCTCATTAATGAACAACCGTTGATCGAGCTGTCTCGCCACCACACCCGTACATTGTTATGGGGCATATCAAAAAGTCCATGCTGCAAGTCCCATCTACGTCTGCGCCATCGTGTATCCGTTTTTCTGCACTCCACCCGCCCCCGGCTTAATTTGGAGAGAGCTGATTTCTGTGACAGAAACATTGAAGTTATGTTTTGTTTGACTTGTGCTTTCGCTTGGGTTCAAAAACGATTCGACAGTTAACCCTGCCCTGCCGCAGACGAAAATATGAAATTATGAAAATTAGTCTAAGTCAAGTCACGCAACATGTCACTGGTTTACACAGAATTATTTCAACAGCGCCCTCTTTTGAGTGGGAATATGCAATACACTTCTTTATTTATCGACCGAGTTTCTTCCCAAAAAAAGCTTCAATCCTCACTCACTTCAATCTTCGCCGTTAATTAAAAGCCATAACCGTAAGAAAAAGTGTTCCTTGCGGGCCTAAGTCCTAGGATCCCTGGAAATGTACAATGACCGAGTAAACGATAAAAGCCTTGGAATCACCCGAACGTTTGGGGTGGTATTCAGAGAGCATTGTCCAGTGCACGCTAAGAAAGTTGAGCAAGTTATGTTGATGTATAGGCATTAACTATGCGGGTAATTAAGCTGTCTATGTACTCCTGAATGTCGGTTTCTGATTAAATGGAGAGTTACTCCGCAGCGCTACACTCTATCGTTTGGTGAATGGAAGGTATTGTTGATCTCAGGAGAAGTCATTAGTTCGTCCGTTACGCTGTGATCATAATCTTACACGCACCCAACGCTATCTTCTTAATTTAATCTCAAAGGCATGGTCGATTCAAACAGTGCAGGATTAAGAGGTAAAATAAAAAGTCCTGGTATCTTTTCCTTCTACAAAATGCGCATGCCTGTTGCCTAGTCTCCCCAACATCAATTTTAAAAGCCTTTACGATTACACCTGCATGTCAATGTTAATTTGTTTGACATTGGTTGAAACAGGTTGAAAAGTCACCAAATGTCTCGCAGTAAGACTCGTCCTTTGTTGGTGGTGAAGGCAAAGTGTCCAGTTGGTGTTTCACCTTAATCTACACCCAAACTTTGGAATTGAAACTGTTCTTTTCGTCTCGAAGTTTGAATGAATGGACAGATTATCAAAAATGCTGGCACTCATTCACGAGAAGGAGAACCGTGCGCTTGTAAGCTCTTTTGATGACACTTTGTTGTGGGTGGTTTCAAAGCCAAAGTAATAGGTCTAATTGGCTCCGCATTTTAGTGGGCAATTGACTGTATAAATGCCTCATTGTCTGTCTATAGGCCATTTTGTTTGGTCAAAAAGTTGCAAAACCGTCGTAGGGAACCGTTTAAGATCCTAAGTGTGGGTTTGGTGCGTATACAGTCAGGAAATTAAATTGTGTTATTATATGTTCACAGTTAGAATGAAGGCCATTTTGATACAAATTGTGTAAGCGCACGTTTTGGAACTCTTGTTTCCCCCAGCGTTTACTGAACAAGGATAGGGGCGAGAATTGCACGCTGTGCTGCTGACAAAGAAACATGTAGTACGAAGTTGTGTTTTAGACTGGTTCAGACAAGACTGACTGGGAAAATAAATAATTGTACAGGTAGGCAGAGAGACAATGAAAGATCGTTAGAGAAAAAAAACTAGAGAGGAAAATAAGCGCGATGTGTCGCTCACGGCACGTGCGCGGTTGCCGGATGGTTTATGCTCCAGCGTTGTGCCCGCATGGTTCGGCACAGGGCACCGCACACGACTCGCACGCGACGCCTAGCGTCGCCCCGCCGACAGACTACGCTTGGCCGCCCGCTCTGTTCTGAGGCTGTCCTGGCTGGGCCCTGAACAACGCGGCATTCAGTCTTTCACACTCACACGCACTCAAAATTGCTTTTGTAACTGTCGTAATGAATACGAGCGATGTTTTGCTTATGTTTTCTGCTTTGCTGGGTTCGGGGGTTTTGTTGTGAGTTTTCCGGCACACTTGCAATTTTTAGCATGTGCTTGTGACATTTTACTCAACAGAATTCCCAAATTGATGGCGTGCGAATTGCACAAGACTGGTTTGGAAATAGTGGTACAATATCTTTCATAACGCACAGAATAAGTTTCACAAATAACAACAAAGCTATGTAAAACTGAGTTTGGGAAAGTATGACTTTACGTTTCTGATCTCTTTTTTCTCATACAAACTGCAGGAACTAGATAAATCCAGTGCATGCACGTATGTTTAAACAGTGCCCTAACAGTTCACTTAACTCCAATTCTCACGGTCGAGGGTTGTTCGTTTATTGCACCAGGAAAAGGGGGAACCCTCCAGTCACTTTGTACATGGATTTTCATCTCCTCCTTTTTTGCTGCATTATGATGAAAAATAAACTCTTTCGGTAGGCCTGCAGTGTGCGAGATATTCATAGCGCATAAATAGTGAAATTTAGTGAGTTTTGTCAATAATTCAGATTCCCCATGGACTGCAACACTATTTTTACCCCTTTGAGTGTGAAATACGGAATAGCCACCAATCAACCAATCAGAGAGAAGAATCGAGACTCGGTGATGTCATCCCGACTGCGAGAAACAGATTTCAAACAGCTGTCATATATTTTTAAGAAAGTGTCGTGCCCAAAAAGGGGTTCTGAGAATTATTTATTGCGTTGTTCCTTTAAACTTCTGTTTGGGATCATTACGAATTAGAGCCAACAAATTATTCGGTTTGAACTGGGTTTTAACATGGAGGTTTGTGTCCTTCCTCCATGGTTTTAACATCTGCTCTGCTCACTGGCAGAGCGCAGCGGCATTGTGAGCACACACACAAGTTTCGCAGTTGATACATGATTGGTTTGTCAATGAATAGGATAACAGGTCAAAGTCTGAGCTGCGCGCGTCGGGAGTCACGTGACGAATAGTTCCTCCAGCAGCTGGTGTTGAAGTATTTATGAATATCAATACTGTCAACACCGATGGCAAACTATGTAACGCACGCGGAATGTTGACACTACTCATGCGTAAGCGGCTTCTGCTCTTGTAAAGCAGTGAACCGAGAATAGACTCGATGCCAAGTCGGCATAGGACCTTATTCCCGAGGCTGAGGAAGCCAGTTTTCATCTTTGTCATCGATTCTGTTTCATCGCTTGTTAACTGTTGAATGGAAAGGTATCAGACAGGTACTAAGTTGACAGGACATTTCATTTTATTTTTTTATTGATAATACTAATTTCCAGCAATGTAGAGTTTACCTCACTTTCAATTTCAGCATGGCCGACCCATGAATAAGGTCCTTTGATTTCGGTTTTGTTCTCCACCAGCAAATATCGCTGCGATCCACACCATTTACCTATGCACCTCTGTACAGGAACTTTGGTTGCCTCGTCCCCAACTCGCGGATGATCAACCATGCACGGAGTCCAAACCCGCCCAAGTATGCTGCATTACACTAGCCGCACCGATCGAATTCGTTTGAAATTCACGGACAAAATTTTAAACACTTGTACATAACGACTTGTCATCAAGTCTACGAACCAAGCAGTTCTCAGTTCAGGAACCATGAGGAATATTTGGTAACCCTTTTATCTTTGAACTTCAGCACTCACATGTTGACATTTAAAAAGGTTGGACTGTTTGTCCTCCTACTTTACTGGTTCTGTGGGAAATGCAGGCATTTCATTCAGTGCTAGCATCTCCCCTTAATTTATTGTTGCATCCCTAATGAGGATTGGTGGGCCACTTTATAAAGACAGTTCCACTTTCAAAGTTTCAGACTTCTGGAAACTAATCAGTGTAACTCAGTGACTTTTTGATGCCAAATTGCGCTGTGTGCGAAATTTAAACTTAATTACAGGAACATCTACCCCAAAGAAGGCCAAAAGAATTAATTTATCCAGATTTTCGTGGAGAAAATTCCCCCCTCCCGTCGTTAAGTCCCCTTATTTGAGGCCTAATCGTCAGTAAAAGAAGATTCACTTTTTTAGAACTTTTATTATATTATTTCAAATGATTTCACGTTTTTCAAAAGAAACTTAACCTGAATATGTAGGCCCATCTTCCGATCTGCATCAATTGACATCATCTTCTTGTTTATTTTCGAATGAAACAAGTTATTCAAAGTTCCATGAGGAGAGAGGTCTTCTTTAGGTTGTGCACTCTCCCATTGTAGGTCTCATGTCCCTTCTGTTAGCGTTGTTCACCCACGACAGCCTAGTTCGGTGATGTGTACGCCAGACGAGCAGAACTGCAACAAGTAGAGATGAAAGAACCCCTTAACGCAGACCCAAGGCAAAACAGCCTCCTTTTAATCTCGAGGAAAGCCTGCTAGAGAAAAGAACACCCTTGCGCATGGCTTCCTGGACACTCGCAGAAATTATCTGGACGTCATTTTTATGAAAAGGACCAGCAAGGTTTGTGGTTTTTTCCTTCCATGTAGGAGAGTAAACTGTAAAAGCCCCACCACCGGCACCAGGTTTGACGACTTCTGTTCGGTTTTTTCACAGAACTCCCTGCCTGATCACGGGGCCCGCTATCACCATCCCACCATGCCCGACAATTGAGTGTAACATCGTGCACAACCCCCCCCCTAACATTATTGTGTCCGGCTTGGGTCCATTCAGCCCGGCCCGTGGGAAAGTTAGCGGGAACAATAGGCCGCTTCCGCGCGTGAACGCGCAGGGCTCGTAATACCCTCAGGCCAAGCCTAATCTGACAGCGTCCTTTCTCGGTTCCCACGGCCTGTTCTACCGTTGGACTTACTGGCATGCCAGCTTTTTTAGCCCCCTCGTCCTCTGACTGGGCTTACTGTTTCGATTTCGGTTCTATTGAAAAAAAAAAAGATTCTCCATTTTCCAGCCGAGGTATGTCAACGCCTGAAGTAAACTCGGCTGATTGTTTTTTTCATTGGGGCGACTAAAAAAGTCATGCCATCCATTGTTCTTATATGTAATCCCTAGACGGCAAGTGCGTGGATTGTTGTAAAAAACGCATAACATTACATTAGAATCGTTCGAATTTGAATTCGAACACTTCAAAATTTAATAAATATGGAGATGTACGCTGAAGTTATCAACAAAAACATGCAAAACTAAAAAAAAAACCATATAAAAACAGTCTGAAGTACTTACGTTTATTTGAAAAAGCTCAAAATTAATTTAACTAACTTTAGATTAAATTATAATTAATTCAAAGTTAAACATTCAAAGTTTGTGTTTGGGACATAATACACCTAATAATAATATAATTGGGACAATACACATAATACGAGACAAACAACTTGCAGTTTTTTATTCAATTGAAATACTTTTGTTCCGGGGAAAATAAATTTTTAATTAGGCTGGGTAACAATTCGTCTGAGTTTTGTGCAGTGATTTCATTCAAGTAATTTCATCCAACTTCAAGCCAAAAATTATTTTGAAAAAATTTAATTAATAAAATTACCCTCAATCGGGATTTATGCACAAAAGTAAATATTTTGTTATGTAGGATAACATTTATTTTTAGACTTTGGGTGAATCTATAATCCTTTGAGTTTTACAAAATGAAAAAACGTCAATTTACAATATACGCCTATCATAAAATTATGAAACCGGAATTTCACTTTTTAAATTCCCCATTTCTTAGACAGTTTAATAAAACCGTTGCAGGAGAATAACGCTTGATTAGATCAAGTACCCAAATCGTAGGCACCTGTTGACACGCGAGTAGCCCGTGTCCCTATCAAATTTGCAGTGTTCCACGCGAAATGAAATTTACATTCGGTCAAAATTATCGTGTACCCCGAACAATACAACGATTTCCAGAACAACATCTCTCTGGAAATTTCGCGCGTGCCGGGCATGCGTCATTTGAAAGATTTGGGATGTTTTGAAGGGGAGTTTGTGTGTTGTGAAATCGGCGTTGCGGGCTTGATATCCCTGGGGATTTTTTTACCGCCGCCTCAGCCCAGCTGTTTACTGACTACATGGATGGTGGGGATCGCCAAAAGCCAATTGTTTACTCTCACACAGAAAAGCTGAAGGGGGTGGAGTTTTCCCACCGCTCTCCAGCTAACACCGGTCGCGGAGAACAACAGGCCACGCACGTGTAGAGTGGTGATTAAGAGCCCTAACGACCACAGTCAATAGACGCAGACAATAGCGCCGACGCTCCCACGGTCGTGGTGGCATCGTCAACGCGGACGACATCACTGCTTATGCTAATTTCTGGCGGCCTCCCAGCAGCGCTGACCAACGGGAGGCCGGCGCCCCGATGAGGTAATTCCGGCTGACCAATGACGAGGCGGCACTGACTCGCGTGGCGAGCTGCAGCGGGTATCCCGCGCGACACAATGAGACGCGTGCCGGGATTGGCCCGTTGTGAGGGAATTTCACACTTGAGCGAACGGCCGAAGGCACTCCCCTGTGGTCGGCACGTGTGGGGATAAATAGGGCTCTCGTGCTCACAGTTCCATCATTCTAAAAATCAACCTCCCGCGATATAGACGTGATATCCCACTTTTGTCTCTCCTTCTTGAAACACTCTCCACCTTGTACGAAAAACTTCAGCATGATTGCCAACGTGATGCCCAATTCTGCGCCCGAAACGGAAAGACCTAAGGTAGGCATGTACTCAGAGTTTTCAAAATTTGCTAGTCAGTCTGATTTTTGTAAATTTATTCTAACATCGGTGGTCTTACGTTTCATTCCTTGGACATCTTTTAGCGTCCTCTAATCCTCTGATATTTGTTATAGACTCTCGTGGTGGTACCCATTAAGCTGTTGGTTCGTCATAATTACATACTTTCACCGGTATTTATGTGGCCAGATTACGTATGCACCTTAGAGCTGTTACATCGAAGCTCGTCATTTTTCCCTGTCCTTTCCCATAACTTAATGCTTATTTTTGGTACCTTTACAGACTTCCAAACACATGATGGAGCGCAAGAGGCGAGCTCGTATCAATGACAGCCTTCTCCAGCTCAAAAGTCTCATCTTTCCGGCTCTGCGCAAAGAGGTACGTGCTGCTTGTTTCGCTTTCCTTCACCCTCCTCTCAGTATTTCCCACTAAATTGCACTCGAAATTCAACCTTGAAACTGCATCCTTCAGTGGGCGAAATCCCACCACAGTGTGGAAAATTCGACAGTCATCCTGACCATTGGGATTTCAGTTTTAAGATTGAAATCGTTCGCTAAATGCAAGCGAAATTGTGGAAAGTAATTCGAACCAGTTTTGTTGGGTTTTTTTTCCAAGCATGCTTGGGTTATTCCTACCCCCATGGTTGGACCGTCAATATCTCCTTGCACAACAGCATGTGTCAAGGCAGTCGAACCCACCGCTATTGAAACCAATTTGGAAGCATTGTTGTCAGTGTGGAGTCGCTATCTCGTCTCTTGTCAATCCCACGGCTTTCCCACGGTTCTCTTGAATGGGCTTCCCGCTGGGTTAATAGGTTTAGCATTGTGGTGTGGGCCGTTTTCCCTGGTCTGCGGAAGCCAGGGGTAAAGAGAAAAATAAAACCCGCAGACCGTACCCGACCACAATGGGACGGGGCCGGCCGAGCGCACAGCGCGCCAGCTATCCCTTGTTTGTTTGTCACCACCCCGCGCCTATTGAAAAGAGGGTACAGAAGAGTCGATAGCGAGAGAGAAAAAAAAGCGAACCGCCGCGGTTTATTGTGCTGCTTATAGAACGTGGACGTGCTAACGACTTCTGGCTGTTGACAAAGGGATCTCTTTCAGGAGATCGTGGGAAAGTTTCGGGATCTATTGTTGACGCCATCCTTGCGGCTTATCAATTACCCTTGATCCCAAATCATGACCAAGGGATAGATCCTTGCGAAGGTCGTGCTGTCTGATTCGTCTTTCTTTTTTGTATTAATTTTTTACCCTTCTTTTGTTGACAGAATTTGTTGTTGATTTTTTTTTGTGTTTTATTTGTTGATTCGACAGATGTCACGCCAACCCAAAATGGAGAAAGCCGATATCCTGGAGATGACTGTCCGCTACCTGAAGGAGGTGCAGTCGTCGCCGCAGAATGGCCGGACTTCCCCCGCCGCCCAGGTTAGCCAGTACCACGCCGGGTACAACGAGTGCCTGGGTGAGGCCTCCAACTTTTTGGCCAACTGCGAATCCGTGGACCTGGACACCCGCCTGCGGATCATGAACCACCTGGCTGAAAGGTGCAGCGGTCTGGAGCCTACAGTCCCAACACAGCAGCAGCAACAAAAGCAGGTGACGTACAACTTCACCGCCCCCAAGCAGTCTACTCTGACGTCACCAGCTGTGAGCCCCGTTTCCGTGGCAACCAACAGCCGTGTGCCGCCCATGACATCGTGCACCGTGCAGCAGCAGCAGCAACTCATGCTGTGCATCCCGCACGACTTTCCCAGCCAGACCAACCCATCCCTCCTGAGCCACTCCAGCACCAGCACCCAGTCGTCCATCATCTTCCCCACCCCTCCTCCGTCACCGGTCGAGGTGTCCCCCGCCCCGCCCGCTCAGTCGTGCACCCAGATCGCCACGGAGTACAGACCTAAAATCAAGTCGGCCGTCGCTGCCTCCTATCGGCGTCGCCACGCCGCCGTCAGCAACACTGTCGCACGAGAAAACGTCTGGAGACCCTGGTGAACTTTGCAGCGTACTCTTCGCCTCATCGAAACTGGTGCTTCAAATAGACTGAACTCGGGCTTACTTAGTATTTGAAGTGTTTGACTATTCCTTATCTTGGGTTTGACACATTATCAAAGAATCACTTGATTCAATGAACACAGCAACGGCTAAGTTCTCTCAAGAAATTCGTCTGATCTTTTCAAGGGGTCCCAAACTTTCTTCAGCCGTTTGCTTTGACGCTCACCACTTACTTGGCGCTAACTTAACGTGTTTGGCTTCTTCCAACACAGTTGCGAAATTGTTGTACAGATAAGCCCAACTAAAATATTTTTGTATTTGACATTGTATTTTGCCGCTGCTGGGCGGCTGAAAAGTTCTGACAGGCCGTTGCAGGTCGACGGCCGATGTTTGAGAATAAAATATCTCTTAAAAAAGATTTTCTATGACGGAGTGTTTGCCTTAGTGTGTTACTTTCATTTCAACAGATATAAATTATAGCAAGCCACCAAGGGGTTTTTAGTTCCATTATTGGAAGCTGGCCTTGGATAATTTGGACAAGAGTTTTGAAATAGCTCCTAAAGATGTAGGTTATTTTATATTTAGATTGATGCTAAAAGTAATGCCTTGTCGACATAGAACAGGCCTTTCTCCACGGCTCTTGATAAACGGGTCCTTAACTGCTATAGGGTCAGCTCTTCTTGCGTCACGGTCGTGTTTTTCCTTCATGTGGCGGCTGAAACTATAGATGGCCGTCGGTCTAAAGTAAAATTCACGAAGTGTCAAAAATCCGGCGCAGCTACATTAACAACGGATAATACATGTAATACACATACATGTACTGCTAAATAAATACCCAAATTTAACATTAATGGGACATAAACATGTATGTCCATTTTGAACGAATTTGAGGTAAAAATCGAAAAACAATCAAAAGGATATTTCTCCAAACTTTGGCCGCCCATACAAGTTGTAGGCACTAAATGAGAGTGGTCTCCAATGAATTACCGGATTTTGTGTCGGGGAGGAGGGCAATGGGGGACTTTCCATTTAAAATAATTGGTGGAGTAAATGTATTATTTTTCAATTTTAACATGCTTTGCCTGGTGAACGGTGTCTTTTTGCGCTCGGATACCAAGGGTTGTCAAGAATGCTGGATAATTGGTGGCGCCCTTCGCAGAAAAAAAACCCACGTACTTTAACAGTGTTCGATTATTGCCCGCGCACACAGTCTGGTAGTGTGACTGCGTTCGATTGACACGTGAATTTTTGCACAAACATTAAATCTTAACTCACTTAAATCAATTAAGTTGAACGATGCGAAGGAAAGTTGATGCCATTGTAAGTACATGTCCATGTAGGCCTAGGTGGTTCGAAAATAATTGTATGTAGGGGAGGTTGGCTTCAACAAATCCCCTTCTCCCCTAAAGTTTAAAATGCAAACTCACAGGGCGGACCCACATTCAATTTCGGGGGAGGAGGAAGATTTTTTTTTTAGGGGTTCAACCGGTGTCAGAATGTATAAACTTTTCTGACCTTTTGGAGGAGTGAGGCTTAGATATTGGGGTCTTTGGGAAGTAAGGATAAATGGCATTGTCCTATGATTGTAATCGGTCTTCCGGTAAATATTTCCATGTGCCGTCATTATTAAAGCAAAATTGTCCCGTGTTGGTTCCGCTGGATCCGCAGAGGCGCATCCGAGAGTGAGCAATCGGCTTTGCTAGAAATTCACTCGAAATCAATGGACACAACTCAAGACCAACTTTTGGAAAATGGACTCCCCGCCCACAAAATGGTCTGCGAAAAAATCACGGCATTTACTTCTTCATTTTGGTTCCAAGCCCAATGGCGTTCAAAACACTACGATACGGGTAAGCAAGGGTGGATCAAGGACGCAATTGTCGGGGGGCGCAAAAATGGACCTTCCTTTGGGAACTTTTCACAAGTGTTGGAGAGGAGGGAAATGGACAGAACAAAAAAATCCTAAAATTAAAACGTAGGCTCCTTATTTGGTTGTAACTGGGCATCGCTGGTTCACGACCGACCATGAAAACGCCAGCGTTGCCGTCGCATCGCTACCAACAAAACTGAACACTCCCTACCAACATGGCTCTTTTCAACAGATGAGGGGTGCTTCTGCTTAATGTGGATTTTTTATATTTGAATTGTGCTCTTTTTGGGGGGTGGCCCCCTGTTTCCCTCCCCATCCTCCAAATCCGGCCTTGGAGGTGGGAAAATGCTATCGAGCGATCTGAGTGACCAATGAGAAATCGAAAAACTAGCAAAACGGGTGCACCCAAAATTTCAAACAAAAGGGGGTACATGCTCTACTCAAAAGAGGGTATAGACCACTCTCGTTTTGCCTAAATTGTGTCTGGGCGGCTAACGTTTACGGAAATATCACCTTTTGCTTGGTCTTCCCCGATTTTACCACCAATTCGTTCAAAATGGACATTGTTCCTTTAATTTTAAATGGGGTTGTATTGTCATTGACTTTTTAGAAGTGTGTGTATTATTATCTGGTGTTCTGATAGCTACGCGGGATTTATAAGTTAATACTTTGTGAATTATTCTCTTGCTCTTTGCCGACGGTCAACAATTTTAGCAGCCACATGTAGGAAAAACAGGACTGTGAGTTCAAAAGAACAGACTCTGCAACTTTGTCGTGTTCGTTCAGTATCCAGGAATAGGTCCCAGTACTCGCTACGTTCTTAGCCGAAACGGATACAGACATTCACTCCCTTTATAGAATTTGCTTCAAAATTTAGTTTTCTCTTTGTACGTACAGACGTATTGCCACACAGGCTTTTTCATTATTCCTTAGAAACGTAAAGTATATACCTGGCAGCGATTACAAAAAGAACAAGTCGAGTCTATTGAAGACTCAGAAATGATCCATTCATCCCCGGCCTCAGCCAAACCATCACACAGGCTCCTGTCTCTGTCCCTGTCCTTCGGCCTTAATAATGAGGTGGCTTCGATCGCCCAAAACCGATCCATAACCACCTATTTTTCCCGTAATGTTCCCACGTGGATCAGCGCCGTTCCTCCTTTGACGTACCTGTGGTGGCTAATCCGGCTTCGCGTGTGTTGGACCGGTGCCATCTTCTCAGAACAAAAGGCGCCGTGAATTGGCGCTCGAAGTCCGCCTATTGTTGAAGTCATCGCAGGTGAGTGGCCCGGGTACAGGTGCTTATTGTTAATAAACAGTGTGCGGAATCAGTTTTTTCTTGTTGTTAAAAATTGGATTTCAAAAGTGAATTTCAAAAAGTGTTTTAATTAAATAGCACTGCTCTTTCTAACACTGTGCTCGAGGCCCGGTGATATGTATAGTGGAAAAGAAACAAAATCACACTTCTCGCTGACAAGATGTGAATACAAGCACACCTGGACTTACAGTCACAGACGTTTTCACCTGGATTCATCAGACTTTGCAAATGTTAGTGTCTTCTCCCCTTTCTCGACAAGGAGGGGTCGGTGGAAAGGGCCTGACATTGCTCGTCGCTTCACACCCCAATATTTTCCTTTTTTGTCTCATTTTGATTGTCAAAATGGCGGTTGTGGTCGTAAGGCCCTGATTGTATAGCTCCCCCGTCTGCGTTCATGTCGCTGATCCTCCCCCCCCGGCATGTTTTTCTCCTATTAATGGAAACACGATCATAGTTTCGAGTAATATGGAACCTTTAAAACAGCTATTACAATCAATCCCACTACTCGCACTTGCAGAACACCAAGTTACTTTTCAGAACCATACATCTTCCTAAAAGAGATAGTTACATGGTGCCAAGGGCGGATCAGGAGAGCAATGGGGGCAATGCAGCCTCCCCACCCCCCAAAAAGGAGGATTTTTTAATAAATCAGAGCGAAGATATTAAGTGTCTTGGGGTTGTTTTGTATGGACAGAGCCATTTTGTTCAGGAAATTGTTTCTGAGCAGCTGCTTAAATGTGACTGGTCCAATCACCTAATGGAAAAGTTCACCGGGGACGCTGCTTTCTTGTTTTGTCCCCCCCCCCCCCAAAAAAAAGAATGGGGTCTGGATCCGGCCATGCATAGTGCACCCGCAAATCTTCACCGTCGAAAACTGTATTCAAGTGTCAGCCATCTTGAATTGAAAGTGAGATAAGATTTTTCGTGGTGGGAACCTGAGAATAAAAATAACACCGATGAAATAAAAGTACATACACATTCACGCCAGATTTTGGTTGGCCTTATTTAAAATTAGTGATGAATAATATCTGAAGTGTTTCATGCAACACTTTAAACAAAATTGAAATTGAGGTTTGGAACCTAAACGGCACCACCCCATTTAACAGGTTACATGTACATTGAATAGATTCGGGAACAAGATCCAACATGGCGTCCCCGCGAATAAGGTCTCTTATGGTTGATACCACCACCATGCAAAGTTTCGAACACCAAGTTGGCGTCCTTTGAAAAGGTTGGCCCTGGAGCAGATCGAAGTAGAAATCTACAGTATTGTCCTGACGTTGACACGTGTTGTGTCAACCGCTTGGCGGGCAGCCCCAACATTCCCGCGGGGAGACACACGGATCGAACGAAGATTCAAAGCCGAAAATTGACCTGTTTGCCGGGCGGACAGGTAAAGGAATAAAGAGTGTTCGCCACCTGAGGCATTTCCATCGCCGCAGGCAATATCGTCCATCGATATCTTATTGCACGTTTTTAAGCCCTCTGTTTTCTGCCAGTTTTTGACAGACAGAGGCGTGCGCATCCTAAAATAGGGAACTCTCGCAGAGAAACGCTTCTGTCGATCACGAAGTAAATGTAAACATCTGAAATATAACCTGTTATAAAGTTCGTATGTTAAAAGCTTAATTAAAGTTTTGAAATGGACTGAAATAGACTCATGTTGCTGACTGTTCGTATGGGTGGCTAAAATGTGCAAAATTATGACTCGTGGCTGGTGTCAGGTTTGGCTCCAAAATGGAGTCCTTACACTTTCAAAGAGGGCCAGTATTTTTTTCGCAAAGTGTGAGCCTGAGTTCAGGCGGCTTGTGTCCATGAAAAGCTCGATTTGTTGTTCGTGGGTCGGTCGCTCGAACGCCGGGAACGTACAACCGGTTATCGCTGACAGTGACAACTGGCATGGCGGCGTCCACGTACCTTCTTCGAGGGTTGATTTTGGATAACGGAGCTGAATTCGTTCTATTTAAAAAGGAACATTCATTTCAGTGTTAGAGAAAATTATTTATATGAATTTTGCAAAATTTCCCATTGTCTCAGGCTTTGAAAGCCATCTCGCTATATCTTCTGGCTGTAAGTTCACAAATCAAAATCTCACGAGTTTTCCGGTAGCGTGAGAACAAGAAACCCATGTCAAGAACGGGCTTCCTGATTCACCTGCGTTTGACTTTTGTAATTTCTTTTGTGTGGACGGTAAGCCATAGGTTAACAGCTACGACTAGTTGCCAGCTGTTAAATATACAAGTAACACATTCGCCTTTGGAAGCCGCCACCAACTGCAGCGAACGGCTTCCCATAGGCACTCGTGTTACGGCCGGTCGTACCCACGTCCTTCGCACGCTGCCTTGGAGAAGAACAGAATCCTGTCTGCTTTATGGCAAGTCGCATGGGGGCGCTCTGTTGACGCACTCGCTCACATAATTTCCGGAAACTTTCACTTCGCGCTTTGCGCGGATCGCGATCGCTAAATTTCAGTTTGCAGCACGTGCACCAAAATGCAAGGAGCCACACTTGTCTCAATTTACACGATCTTTATCTTACATGTGGATCTCAAAAGAACTAGATTTCGCCCTCTGTATGTGTCAACGTTGATTTTCAGTCTCAGGCATGTGATTAGAAATGACTTTCCCGTCTCCCTGCAGCCGTCCGAATTCCATAACGCCGTTGCTTCTTTTAAATTGCCTTTTAAACTTAGGTCATTCAAGCTCATCTCCCCACGGAGCAGGTTGTCAGTGGAGATGGCTTTGGCTCACGCAACCCCCCCCCCCCCGAAATCTGCATTGTGTTGAGCCTTGTACTTCCCTTCTTGGACCTCCACTGGTACCCTGGTCATTTTAACGGGTTGTTGAACGACAAGGGTGAATTACACGAGTAATCGTACCGTGCTCAAAACGAATGAAGTGCGAAAACCTGGGACGACAAGATCTTCAGGGTGCTTAACAAGGAACAAGATCTATTTGGGACTAGGCGTAAAAGGGACTGTATAATGCGTGGGGGGGGGTCCAATCGCATATGAATGTGGGACTCCATAATAAAGCGGTCATGCTTGGCGGTTTGTGTTCAAGTTTCCATGCTTGGTAAATATCCGACGGAAGCCAAGCATTCGCAGCATATGAAGCAAACTATTGGACAGAGAGAACCCACCCCCTTTGTGTCGGTCATCATACGCTGGTATCTCAGGAATTCTTTTCAGACATGAAGGCCCTTGGGATGTGTTAAGTGACAATAGGCCGGAGTGTGTATGGGGATTGTACTTGTTGGGGGTACCCCTCTGTCCCATTTCGTGCCTGGTATAATTCGGAAGGGGTGTGTACCTGGGTGAAGGAACCCTATATCACCACGACGAGCTCAGTCTGATTCGAACGCATTATAAAGTGCACGCTAGACATGAGTTCAAATCCAGCTCGCAAACCCACATTCGTTTGCGGAAAACTGTCCATACATGCTGAATTTTGACGACCCCTATCCACCGCCCCACCCTACCTCGGATCCGGGCGCGCACGGTCTTGTACATGTACTGTACATGATGTCCGTATGGGAATGCGCGGCAACCCCCCTTGGCAAATCCCCCTTCCATGTTGTTGTCACAAAATGATTCTCGCTTGACTAATGATCGGCACAATGATGGAACGTTCAATATACCTCTTTCTACGCAGTGCACCACTATCCTGATGGGAGAATTCTTAATGGGAATTGTTTGCAAGCCGTGCCGGGTTTTTTTCTCTCTCTCTCTCTCTCTCTCTTCGGCTAAAACGAGTCGATGCCAGGCTTTGGTCCTCGGTTCGATCTGCTGGCATGCCCGCGGCATTGTTGTACCAACAGTGATACTGATGTAATCCCCTCTCTTCCTAACTAAAGACCCGGGCCCCCACACGAATCTCCCTTTAACACCATTAATTGTGTAATTGAAGACCCAACGCAAAGGTCTGAGGCTTCAAAACATTGTTAAGGGGAATTTAGTACAAGAACTAGTCTACTGCTCTATGCGGGAGACTTTCTTCTAGCACCGCTTCATTACATGAACTCTCTTCAAGAAACGAATGAGCAGCCCATTTAGCGTATAGAAATGTACCAGCATGGGATATAATTACGGTCATTTGCCGCATGATTGTTGATATCTAAAATAGGCTTAAGACTGAATTGTCGTTCAAAAAAGACAGGGATTTCGAAAAGACTTGTTTTGTGGAAGTGACTGTAGCTACTGAATGGGGTAATATCGAACGCTGTAAATATATTATGCTGTTGTTGATAGCTACAGGTAAAACATGGTGCAGCATGCATGTATCGATCCATTGATGACGCGTGGATCGGAACAAAATGAGGTGCCGGGCGATTTGCCGCCTTTGTAAAGAATCTCCCTTGCTCCCGCCAAGAAAAGTTAATTCGTCAAGTTGTCTTGTTTTTCTGCTTCGACCGGTTGGCTTGCCCGCGGGTACTGTTTTGCCAACTTTCGCAGGTGATTTCCGACATGATCGATTGTTTTTCTTTTTAAGTCGGGCTATCCACGCCGGCAAAGCAATGCCTTTCGATTATCGACTTTTCCTCTTCTTGGACCTGGTCTGTGTTTCGCCGATCTGAAATGAGCGCGGAAACTACGCATTTCATATATTCAATCGAATTGTTCTACTTCGCAGTGAAAAAAGTCAACACGGCTTCACACTTTTTGCACTGTTCATACGAAAACCCGTAAATCTAAAGTGCACGGATGCATCAAATCTCACCAGCGGTAATTGTTGACAAAGACCACTTTCTTGCGCTAGTTTTTGACAGTGTTAAGGCCGTCGTCTTCCTGTTTAGGCTCGTGGATATACCAAGAGAAGCATTTTGTCACTCGAAGGTGCACTTGTCAGATCACTTTGCACTACATTTAGTTGAAGAGGGCAGCCATGTATGATTTTGGAAAATTAATTAATTTAATGTTCCTTGTTTCTGATCAACAAGTTTACAACTTTTAATTGGCAAATGTACGTTACATTTGACGAATGAATGTATGATCAAATTATCTGAAGATGTTCGTACCCCCTTTCCATCATCATCGGTCGATTACTTTTTTCTTCATCACGCCGCAGTATCCATCAATTACTCGCCTACAAAGCCGCATCATCAGGCTTGCCCACTAAGCTGGGAGATTGTACCTGCTGCTTGGAAGAGGCGGTCGATGAAGTTAAGATGTTGGGAATAGCATTAGATGATGTTCGACCATCATGGGGTGAATGCCGACCCTCGTCTCACTTAGGCCTAATTATTTAATGCGGTAACGAGCAAAGGAGGGATTTGGGGACGCCATCACCATTCCAGGTGGTGGGCCACGACGGTTGTCACTGTTGTGTTGTCATCGTCTCGACTGTCACCATTATTTATCCCTGTCAATATCTTTCTTTATGTGGCCATCGCCTTCAATTTATACATGTGCACCTCACAACTATCACCCTTTTCATCATCGTCAACTTTATTCTAACCATGATCAATATCCAGCCAAGGTCATTAACAATTCATAATTCCGTTTTCAAACTTGAACATTGATTCCTCTCCTAAACTTAAGTATAATGATGTGAAAACATCCTTCTGTCTGACAGTTGCATTTTCCCGTGTACATTTGTCCTAGAATTATAAGATCCCAACAAATTATTATTTTTGACTATGAAAATGACCGCTACCGGTTTTGGTTTTCAACAATAATATTTACCATACTTTTAGCTTGCTTTAAAATTTTAGATCATGAGAACTGGTCTAGCCAATTGCAGGGTTCCCCTGGCTCTTCCGTTTCCGTACATTGAGCAAAGTGAAAAATAAAATGGTAAACTACCTTGGTTGCAAGAACGAAGCAGTTCTTCTGTTCAGCACCACTCAAATAAACATTTTCAAATAAAAACATACAAACGTACGAGCTTTGAGTAATGCCTTGATCCCCAATAATCAATACAGATCCACACCACAGTGAAAGTTCAAGAGGAAAAAGAAACGAAGACAAATGGAATAAAGGCAAAAGAAATGTGTTGCGTCTCTCCAATATTTCCACTTTTCTCAAATTACAAAACGCCTCTGTATACACAATCAAGCGTATTTGCAGTTTGGTGGACCGTTTTGAGTGATCTAAATATTCTTTTGAAAGCTGGAAGAATGGCGCAGTTGTTACTGAAAAATATGCCGATTGCATTTACTTTCATGGTCAATAAAAATAATTAATTTCGGGGTTTTGATAATCCTGGGACAGCCTGTAGTAGTCGAACCAGTGCATAGTGCTTTCCTGTAACAAAAAATGTGTCAGCCGAATTTCCGAACGCATGCCACCACATCCCAACCCCCCNCCCAATTTCCCAAACCCAACCCCCCACATCCCAACCCCCCCCCCCCCCGTTGCAGGCCAGGTTTTCTAGGGTTTAATACCGTCGAGAAGCCTTTAAACATCAAACAATGAAGCAAGGACGAAACGACAAACGGGGATGGTGTTAAGCCCGATGTAAGAAGGAAGTGCGCTGAGATCATTCCGTGTATTATTAGGCTGTGAGCCGCGTGGACCTCTAGACACATTTTGATCAGAATCGATCGGATTCCTCTTCAGAGGGAATGGGGATAAGCGCTGGTGAGTGACGGTGTCTCATAAAATAACGATCGCGAGCTACTCGGTTAGCTAGTTCGTTTAGCATGGTAGGACCTGGAACCGAGAGTTTAGCGTGTAACAAAATTATTTTAACCAGAAAAATATCGACGAGCACTCTCGAAGAATTGTTCGTCGCTATCATGTCTCTCCTAGCCTTCTTTTTGTGCTGCTCCTGGTTCGAATTGCATCGATCCGTGAAGCGCTATAGGTGTATAGTATTTAGGACAACCATGCCAAATCCATCCCTAGAAATACAGTCGAACCTGATTAACAAGAGGTCCTTCGGCCTTAGCAGATTACCCTGTTAGAACAGGAATCTTGTATCATCACGAATGAAAACATTGAAGAACAAAGGGTTGGGGCCAAGCTTGTTACCAACACAATGTTGTATTTTTAGTGAGGTTCGACTGTCCCACACATTCTCTCGGTTCACACAATCTTAACGTTCGTGGTTTTCGTCCCAACGCCTCATTTCCAACACTGTCTTTCCTGAAAATGACTCACGATCCTTGATTGCAATTTTAGAGCAGAAATGAACATATTTTAGCCCCACCCCCACCCAAAAAATGTAACTGTCAGATTGTAGTTTTTCAACTGTCTTGACTTGGTAGAAAGAAACATGTGTTATACTGACACGTCCTACAAAGAGTCAAATGAATAGGAATTTGCAAATGAAGTTGTTTATTTCCCGTCACTTTTATAAACGTCTTAAATAATCAGTTCTTTTTTAATAATGGATAATATAAAGTAATCTGATAAACACAATTTTTTCATACAAAGAAACAGCACTGAGTTGCGTAAGAAATAAATGTATACAACACGTTGCACTGCACATCACGCCAACACACAGCAAGCCTCATTAGTGTTAATTATAGAGGGCGCTCGCATTTTAGCGAAGCTTTGAACCGTCTGCGAAGCCGACATAGGGGATCTTTGTTTTTTCGTCAAGCTAGTAATTCCCTTTTGTAACATTTAGTGTTAATAGAGTATTTACCTTCATTATTAAACCAAGAAATTTCCCAAATATATGAAGTTCGTTAATAAATTGGCATAATTGTAAATAATTTAACCTAATTCACAGTGACAACAATTAGCATTAGCGACAAAAAGCCACTTTACTCAAGTGCTTACTAGAAGAAAATTCAATGTGATCTTTCTTATGGGTAACGTATTTTTCAATATTCATAAGTGCGTTCAGTCGGTGAATGTTGATATTGCGACGACAAACTTAATTAGTACTCAAATGTTGCTCAAAACAAAAACCATTCATAGGACAAATTTAATTGTGCACAAGAGTCAGAACACCCTCTTTTGTGGTCACGTGCCGATCCTTTAACAAATTTTGGAATGAGCCTCAATATTTTGGTGTTGAAGAGATTTTAGGACACCCAAACTAGTTTGGTTCCACTGTATCGGTAGCGCTTCAAGAGGACTTGAAGCTGATTAACTCTGGTCCTGGTCCCAACCCCATGGCCTCCAATGAGGACCCAAGGCAAAGGCTGAAGGATTCGGCAAAGAAAGACCATTCGCGAAGGGAGCGTTGACGCCCCCGCTGTAGGCAGAGGGCGCAACGAACAGCTGCATAGGTAGAGAGGCGGGGGCGTAGACGACGCCATTTTGGCTTCTTGTTTCCATGGTTACCACGTTGCCTGGAGTAGTTGGTTGGTTGGAAGCCGGAACCGGGATCCCTCCTCTGAGGGCATGCCCAGTTGGTTGAGAGGGCGTCGATGATGCCTTTGGTCTTGCACTAGTTGATGCCACGTTTGAGGAGCATCCCGAACTGAGGCCGGGAATAACGAAAATAGGCCCCGCCCCGCCAGTGCCGGAACTGGGTGCACATTGGTTGTCGAAGTTGGAACTTTGCCCGGGGTTGGGATTTGATAAAACCTCACCCACTGACCCGGCCGGGAGTACCGCTGGTGCCCTGGCGGTCACTGCCCGTTGTTGGCCCATCACAGGGGAACCACTCTGCTGGTGGTACAGTGGGATCACCTGACCAGTTGCAAACTGACCGCCAACGAATGAGCTCAGGAGATGAGCAGGCAGCACAAGCGCGACATGACCGGCCGGAGCCGGAGGAAAATTCACCGGGAGTGTGACCCCCGGTGTGGCTGGTGTCAGCGGTGGGATGCAAGCTGCTGTTGGGTGCTCACCCTTCCTGGGAGACTGCTCTACGGGAATGGCGTTGTTGGTATTGCTGGTAACCGCTTGTTGCGAGCTTATGGACGGGGCAGTCGGCTGTTGGGCCGGGGCCAAAGGTGGGACGATAACTTTGGGCGGTGTCGCCAAGGTGTGCGAATGTACAGGCACGCTCGTTGATGCTGGTGCCCCCGCAGGGCGTTCTAGACCTGGCCTGCTGAGGTTGACCCCGACCTCCCGGGGAGCGACTCTGCTGACGCCCGCTGCAAATGGCGCCGTCCCACCCCAACCGGTGCCGCTGCACGGCACCAGGGAGCCCGCCAGGTGGTTGAGGAGTCCCGATCGCGTTTCAGGTTTGAGGGCGCTCTTGTTGGCCTCCATGAATCGACTGACCTCACTCATACACTCGCTGAAGCCGGCCCGGTACTGCGCCTGGGGTATCGGGTCATTGGGGATTCCTGACAAGGTTCAAAACAACGAATCAAGTGAAATTTCTCATTGAAATGAAGTTTATAGATGCATAGCACTTTCTTTCTGTCCATCGTATGGGCAAGTTAAATTGAAATAGCCCGGTCAAATTCTTGTAACAACGAATCAATTCAACTAGTTGTCGGACGCCCCATTATTTTAGTTAAGGGTCCTTACCAAGAGTTGATTAGCTTTCGCTGAAATATTAGATACGTGTACTTCGATAAGACTGTCAGTTTTATGTCAACTGACTATTGGGACTATCCATGAACTACTTGTCATTGGATATTTGGATTCTCATATCTTAGAACAGCACAGCATTGGCATAGTGGATATCCTCATGGCCTTCAGTACAGCAAGCATCTTATGGTGGCCGAGTACAAAAACCACTACAGCCCCACTAGCACGGACTCTCGCTATCGCTCCATCCTTAGGATGGTGATCGGTGATAGTGCACTTTGTCTATTTACTGAACTGCACCAGTGAAACTAATGATTTCATGCATACTGGATTGTCTTCGCGCTGGACGCCGCTTTAAGTGCATGCCCACCTATACAAACACCTTGCTAAGTCAATCAAAGTGGATCCACCCTACGAAAAACTAGAGGTCAATCTGTCAGGGGACAAGCAATGCTCTGCAAGCTATTATCTCGTCCCCTTACCTGCAGCCGAGGCGGATTAACAGATAACACAAGCACTGAGCATACTGATCGGATCTTTGCATGAAAGAAATTTATTACATTAATCTTTGTTTATTCGTTCCGTGTTCGTGATTAACAGGGCCGCGTTCAGAGAGCTTTGATTGGCACCTTGACAAAGTTGTAAAAATTATGCTTGGTGGGCATCAACGATCGCGTGGGACTGCTCGGAACGTCATCTTGGTGCGCACACGATGTGGAGTGTCTGCGTACAAACTCCTCATGGGAACGAGCTCACGCAACCTCTGTCGGGACGTATTTGGGATATTGACAATCAATGATAGCAGTGATATAACAAGAACAAAAGCGCTTTTACGCCTGCCTTAAAAGGGTTTTTGACTTTATAAGTTTCTGAAATCTCCTTACGTGCCTTCACGGAATCGTAATAACTCTTTTGTCGGGCATTTCAAGAGGGAATTCAATGGAGAAAACGAGAAAATTCAGAGCTGAGCATGATTCTGCACGGCCGAATGTCAATGGGCCGGAGCTTGTACATATAAAAAAAAGACTTCGCTATGAAGACGAATTTATGACTATCACCAGACAACTCTGAAAGAATAAAAATGACACTTCTCAGGATGAACTATTTATATCCGCTCGATCGAGTACTGGTGTCCTGTCTCTTTCTAACTTTAAGACTGGATTTATTTTTGGGCAGCAACAGGGGATGAGCGGGAGTAGAGCTGCGCACACAATTATTACAGCGCTTTCAAGCAGCCGGCGGCACTGTATGCACGATGCCCTAAATTTCACGGTCCATGTGCGCTTGGTGAGAAATGATGTCAAAATGATATTCCCGTCGTCTCTGAACTGTCAATCAGTTTGTCAGACGTGGGAATTTGAGGCTTCAGTGTGGTACTGACATATGTTATGATTGTTCCCAGTACAAACATCGTGCACGACATGTTGTGGCCCGTTTCTGTTGAGATCTGTGGCCAGGAAAGGCACCCTTTAGGTTTCAGCACACTGGAACGTATTCGAAGTGCATGCATACCGGCCCCTACCTGTTTGGCCTTGATGGCGAAGATGCTTTACAAGTTGGACGGTCTGCTCCAAAATCTCTGCTTTTTCTCGTTTGGAATGGCTGCCAGGTGTCTAAAGATAAAGACAAACGCGAGATAAAGCTAGGTCACTGGCATGTGACAGATGAATGACAAACTTTTCTTCCAATTGATGTAATTGTGTTCGCGCGTGCGCAGCTATAACAGGAGAAATTATATTTCGCACTGACCAAACATGCCCTGACCATGCACTGATTAAACCTGCACTGTTTTAACACGTCACAAGGAACAATGAAAGAATTCGCGTTACGTTTAAGTGGTTAAAAGTGTGTTTTGCTGATCTCTGCTCTTTGTGGATGTATGCCCTTTTCTTTTCTTTTTTATATCACTTGTTTTACTTCCGGGTCACGAAGGTTATGTGGGGGAGGTAGCTTTTGTGAGTGGTCGTGATATAAGTCACACTGAGTGATGTACATGTACTTGCATGACTAAAGTCTGACGAACGACTGCCTCATTGGTGACCACAAACCCTAATCTGGCTCAACGTCATCCACAAAAGAAGTTTTCTGTATTGTTGACATGGCGCTCAATGATACTAGGTGAGCGCATTGTTCGCTTTTTTATCTCTACGGGGTCGCACGGTCGTTTTGTCCCAGTAGACCTTGACTGAACGCCCTGCACTCACACACCACACCATCAATGCACACGCGCACAAAGTGCGATAGAAATATAGAGAGAACTTTTTTGGAGAGGGGTTGCAACTTGACGATTATGGCAATCAAACTGTCGACTCCTCTTTTGGTGATGGGGCCCCAAATCATGTAATTTTGGAGTGCAAAATCAACACGAGGGTACGTACTTGCAACAGGAGTTTCACATTGCTGCTCAAACTTTCTGTGCAATATCGCGGGGGGGGGGGTGAATTCATGTTTGTCTAAAATGAAAGGGAACAAACATTCTACAGAGGACATCATCTTTTTGGGGGGGAGTTTGCACAAATAAGTAACTTTAAATTGATGTTTCAAGCGAAGAAGTCCCATCAGTAAATCCCCCCTTAAGAGGGTATAACAGCACAAGTTGACATGCAACATGACATCCTTGGCAATGTTGCAGTTATTGTTACTAAGAAAGCGCACTCCTCGCCACGGGGTTCCGGCTGTCTCGATGTGTGCATTCAAGAGCGTCTGCTTTTTTCACGACACATCCATTCCCAATTACGAGTTTTTACGAATCTTATCCAAAGAAACAACAGGTGAACTTCAAGAAATGTGACTTTATATCCTTTTTGTCTGACCTCTCTCCCCGAGACCGCAAGATGTGGTGGTCGCGTTTCCGTTACAATCTGCGTGGGTTCATACTCCAGGTGGAATCGATTCGCGAAACGAGAGCTCCCAGAGGACTTTGTTTAATCATTCTCTGGAAAGTCGGTCAAGGGTCGAAAACATAAAGTTTCGGTTGGGTTGGGGAAAACACTGACCTCTTCTTGGCCGCTGTTGGCCGCCTCCAGAATTCCTTGCAGCTCGGCCAGGCACTCGTTGATGCGGGCCCGTCTCCGCTTCTCCATCAGCGGCTTCGAGGACTGGGGGATACAGTGTCAGAGACAGAAAACAAGATGAGATGAGCTTGCAAAACTCCTTGCAAAGCATGCCGTTATTTCTCCTTCCACAGAAGAGTTTCACCATGGTTTTATTTCACGCAAAACAAGATTACCAGCCAAACTTTCGAGTGAGGACATTATGAAAGATTTTTGGCTGAAGTAAAACTGTTGTTCCGCTGATTATCGAATATGTTTGGCTTCAGAGCACAGGCTGACCTAATATGAACACAGACAAGGAAATTTCTTATTATCCGCTGTCCATCGTAGTCGGCGCAGGTTGATCGTTTGCACCTTTAAAGAAAAGGCGTGATTTTCAAAAAGGGCCATTTGACTTTTACTTTGATCTTGAAAAATGGGGAGAAAACAATACGACTGAATCATTGTGTCTGCTACCACTTATGTGAAGTCTCTCAAAGCGAATCCGTCCAACCCCTTTTTTCTAATCTAATGCAGTATGAAGATTATTGTAAAGGTGTGCTTTTACGAGTCAGAGACGGTGGTCAAGATACTCGATAGATTTTACATTTAAGCAATTATTTTTACCTATGATGTTCTGCAGCCCACTCAATTTGAACCCACAATTACCGCAGAGAAAATATCTGCCAACGTGACTCAGAATAAAGTGACTCATTCTTTTTTGTTCCACTCGAAACTTGTAAACAGTATTCATGACGCCATTTTCCTTTTCCCCCTAATTTTATATAAAACATAATATGAGGGAAAATCATCTCATGGAAAGATTAGCTTGTAATTTTCCTGGCAAGTTTCAAACCAAAAGGCTTCCTAATTTCCTTGCCACTCTTTTTGTCGAGTTTTAGTCATCTTTACTAAAACAATGCGCTTCGCTGGTCTGTTCCAGGCATTAAAGACACAGAGGAACGGTTTTATCCAATCAGAGAGCATCTTAGATCAGGGTGTTGAATTTCCGGACAGGCAAGCGTCCAGTATGCCTTCGTGCCGGCCACGGGCACGCGACCGTCGCGCGCATCCCTACCCTGGCCTAATTCGTCGTCCACCCTCGAGAAAGCTTTCACCCAATTTTCGGCCGAATTTCGACAGAAAGTTGATCAACCGTTTGTCTGTAGCTATGCGTACTTTTGGGGAAAACAACAAAACGCAATCGTAGATGAAGGAATTAATGCATTGTAAGCTGGAATTTTCCGAACCTAATTAGGGCTATGTTCAGGATAAATCATAAAACTGCAAATCTGTAACGGTGCCACTGGGCTTACATAAATATTACCCATACGTTTCTGCACATGACAGTAGAAGAACTAAAAGAAAAAACAATAAAGCAATTATACCTTACGCTTCTCTTGGCTTTTTGAAGTTCTATCCCCAGCCATTGTTCAAAGCGGCAAGTTGTCATCAAGCTGATTTCACTGAATAAACATCATCACCAGTGCTCGAGAAAAAACTGTTATTATTATTATTTGTGCCGAAAGTATTTCACCTGTTGTATCGGAATGCGATATGTGGCTTCAATGCACGAGCGGTGTGAGGTGAAATAATAGGGTGCGTGCCGTTGGCCCACACAACTACCTCCCCTAAAACCAAAGGTACCATTCATGCCGTCCCTCTCTGTTCAAATCTATGCCCGTGTGAAGTCAGTCTCGCGACATTTCCCACGCTTTGCCCGAGCTGAATTCCGACGCATTCATCCCGTATCGCGCCGGCTAGGCCACACGCAACGCATGCCAAAACATGAGGGGCACACGGAGAAGAATGAGAAAAAGGAGGCCTCGCGGTTCGCGTTAGCCGGGGCTCGCGATTGGCTGGACCTCGGCCGGCGTGTCTCCAAGCGGCGCCATTACGCGGCCGCCGATTGGCCCAAGTTTTGGCGACACCTTTTTATCAATGGGGACTGCGACTGGCCTCCAACAATGACACGTTGGCGTTGTTTGTTACACAGGTGTTGGTTGTTCGCAGTTTTTACCTGTAATGCACGTGCCCGGGCTATTGTTCACCGATATCTGCACCGTGCAGTGGGCGCGGGGTAACCCTCGGCCCGTGGGCGCTAGCGCAGAGGCACCGGAGTCAATAATCTCTGTATGTTTGAGCGGTGCGAGCGCCGGGGAGAGTTCACGCAGTAAACATGTCGCTGACATGCAGACGTAGAAAATAAGGGAAGACAATCTCTGCAGATTAAGGAATTAAGGCTGCTCTTTAAATCTCTGTGGGAGACTGGTCGGACGGTAGTACAAACTTTGTACATGTTGACTTTTAGTTGGCGACTGTGATAATATATTTACAACGATTTCAAAACAGTTATCCGGACAAAGGAAAGACGCTGTCGGGATTTGCTCCCTTTAATATTTACAGGGTTCATGACCGTAGCTTCACTTGAAACCGCATTTTTCTGCAGCTTTTTGTACCTTTTAATACGTGAAAATGCATGGCATTCTTTTTGGTTCAATTGAAAGAAAATAAACAAGCATTTCCCTCAGTTTTCATGGCATTATGAGGGCGCTGAGACGTCATCAAAGGAAGGCACAATAACAGAGTAGCGGTATGATGTGTTTTCTGTTCAAATTGAGAGGCCAGATCTGCTCATTAAAAGTAATGACGGGGAGACCTGTATACTCACAGACCTTCTCTCGCAAACCAAACAACGAATTTGTAAAGAAAAGAAAATTGAAGACAACGAAATATCCCAAAATTCAGTCAATCTGTAGCGCAGAAATATCTGCAACATCATTTTTAACCCTAACTTGATGCCACGCTTTTGCTCAATTTAATACACACTGATAAAAAAGTCGCCAAATTGCAGACTGTCAAAAAAATGAGAAACGGAATCAATGGGACACAAAGGTACATATACGAGGAATTTTACCCCCCCTTCCTAAAAAGCTATCGCCATTTATGCACAAAATTGTTATCAGGATCGTTTTTAGGATAAGAGCCACAGAAACCGCACAGGGTTATCATTTTTATTTAAATTTCAGATTACAAATTTAGATTACATGCATGCATTTATAATTTACTTCAGCATGATCCATGCTTTCAGTGACAGAAGAAAGATCCGCCTAGCAATCCGTTGAAGGCCTGTCATGATAGCCGTAAAGCCAAGAGAAGGATGATTTATATTCAAAGTTTCCCCCAGAGTTTGGCAAGACTGTAGTGTTTTGCTGTTATGTGCGATCAGCTGGTTGTCATGTAGGCCTACGACATTATTGCCAGTCGCTCATTCCTCATAACGCGGGGAAGTTTGACAGTTTAACGGTCTATACAAAAACGTGTAATATACAGCCAGCAGATCGCCTTAAAGGGGCAGTGCGGTCCTGGATTTGGGTTTAAATCAGACACCGGACACCGCATATTATTCAAAGAAAACACGATGACTTGTTCATCGTAGACCTGTTCTTCGGAGCCTAGGTGGTTTGCATAAGTCTGGTTCCCAACCGAAGAGTTTGAAAGACTTGAATGTTTTCCGAAAGGCTGTATATTTCACCGTCGCCTGCAAAAGTTCCAAAACGATATTCTGCCGGTGGCCAAGTTCTGATTGGTCCATATTTATGACATCACCGTTGCCGGCAATACCGGTCGATGGTCACATTTTAATAACCAGTTTCGTAATACTGCCGACACATGTGGAGCTCTCCGTCAGAACATACAGTGAGTGACACTGAGCCCAAACCCACAGTGTTTTCAAGTTATGAACGTGACCATAGAGTCCTCTAACTAATTTGGCGCACCTCGATGCCAACATTTTATCCTGACATGGAGCACTTCAAGAAAATTCAGAATATCTCACATTGGCACTAAGGAATTCTTCAAAGTCTTCGAATTTTTGAAAAAATTATTTTCTTTTAACTCACATACCCTGTTTAAAATATGAAGAAAATTATTCCGTTATTTTGGGCGCATTTTGGAAGAGTTCATTTTGCACGAGAAAAAAAAATCGGAAAATGGAGTCGAAATAAAATTTTATGGGAACTTTGGAAGAGAAACAGAAACTTGAGATTCATGTATGGGAATATTGGGCTTGATCAAATTTCACTTATCGTGAAAAATTAAGGTCGAAATATGGCTCTTACTACAAGCAAAAATTGAATGAAAGTGGGCCACAACAACTGTGACGTCAATAATATGGACAGATCAGAACCAGCTACCGACAGAATATCGTTTTGGAACTTTGGTCAGCAACGGCAAAATATCCGCTGACTTTCGAAAAACAGCCTGAGAGGAATTCCTCCGTTTTGGGTGATAAAAGCCCCTTGCTAGAATCCAAGGAAATAAGTCAGATTCGCGTTGCCCGGGAATCGGACTTATGTTAATTTTGCATGGTGTATGCGCAATCACTCATAATGCGTGATAAGCTATCCCACAATGCCCGAGATTTCTCACAATAGGCCTACTTAGGGGTGCCCCCTCTAAAAAGGCCAGAAATGAAATATGTCCGTAGAGCTCGTAAATAAAAACATACACTCAAGATATTCTATATTGGAGAGTCCTGAGAGACTAACTTTGATCTCACAGTTTTATATGTTCCCACTGAGCTGACGAGTTTGTTATGCAGTCACTCGATCGAGTCTCAACCTCGTCCTGCACCGACAGGATCAACTTTCTTTCACGACTTTTGTGCTTCTCCGACTGAAACGTTGGTCCTTATACACGGCCGATCAGCTGTCCGTTTTCGAAAGGAATATGGATAGGGATAGCCGCTTTAATCATTAGTGGCCACTGTTGATTTATGCGTTCGCGCAGTCTACCGCCACACAGGTAGGCGTGTTGGGATCATGCTAACCTCTATAGGTGTTCACGAGGCTGTGAAGGGTCCTTGATATTTCATTGTATCGACCGCTAAGGCGTGGGAAATGCAAACAAAATGAGTGTAGCTACCTGGCCGACCCCCCTTCGGTTTCAGTTTGTGGGAAGGAAACGAACGTACCACAAAATGGGAGTAATTGTTCTTTTAATAAAGCCCGATTGCCTTCCTCTGGTTTTGAAACCCAAAACAGCTAGGTTTTTTTAAGCATTTCCAAAATTAGATTTGAAGTAGGCCCTAATGTTTTATTTTGCAAACTTATTTCATAGGTTTTTAACTCGAGTACCTCGCTTGTACAACTCTTCTTTCATTTGAATTTCTGAAATCATGCCAATTAAAGCTTCTAATTCAAAGTTTTCAATGAGCAATTTTTGATGTTTTAAATCCATATCCCGTCTGTATTTATTTAGAATCTGTCATAGACGTGACGACAGATATAAAGTACAAAAGACCATCATTTATGTAGAATTCACCGCACTTAGGAAAACTTGGCCCAGTTCAAAGTACATTGCCTGGGGAGGTTAACCAAATTCGCCGAGGTTTTTAATTTTGGGCAGAAATTTTGTGTTTCTATTGTGTATTCAAGCTTTCCGTTCTATAACCAGTGTAGCCACACACACACCCAAATTAAACTTACAATTTGATGGCCGCTGTCTTTGGAAACATTGAGCAATTTCAATTGCGATATGTCTTCTATATACACACCTTTTGCGTTTACCTTTAGTCCAAGTATTACCATTATGAACCCATTGATGAACCAGACACGTCATTATTTTCTGTCCTCTCAACGAAATCATTGGCGACACCCCCAGCAGATAGTGCGTGTGTGAACAAGGCCGAAATATCAACTAATAAATCAGCCAATTTGGCGTGGGAAAAGCAAATGAAGTCGGGGTTAATTGCCCTATCCGCAATGATAGCGTCTTATCTGTCATTTTTATGGGCCGAGAGTGAGCAGAAATAAACAGCCGGGATTTTGACTTTTGAACTGGATCCCTGTATATATACGTTCATCCGCACGGGCAGGTTTGGCTGGGACCTTTCCGAGGGGAGGGGCCGAGTTGCAGTGAGGAGGGGTGTCGGGTGGATCGTGGATCGGAACTGCTGGTCAAGGCAGAAGGACTTGGTTGGGGTGCAGTTTGGTCAATGCATCCGGAATTTCGGAGTCAATTACCTGTTGGGGGGCTTCTCTTCCCAGTTGAGCATCGCTATCAACAGAACCTCCGCAACGCCTGTTGGGTTAATAGTTATACATGTAATAATGTGAATTCCTCCATGAGCCTTAAATTTATTGCGGGCCCTCCATCTGTGATATTGTAATTTGCAACTGTAAACTTTTCTCCTGTTTCGCCATGGAGCTACAAAACGTTTCACCGACACTATTTATCTGTATTACAGCTGCTGAAGTTTACAGAAATTTAAGCAGTTTCCAAGACCTGGGTCACGGCACGTTGTCGACGTACATGTAGATGTATCAGCGTCTGTTCCCAAGAAGCCAGAGAAGTTTTACCAGAGACGAAAATGCAGTGGGAACATTCAACCACTTCAGTTCAAATATTAGGCTGTGTCCAAAATGTTTTGTTTGTCTGGGCATTGGGAAAAAGAGACGAGACTATAGCAACCTCGGGCAGTTATCATTAAAATGTTTTCATGTTTGCTTTGTTCTTACGTATTCATTGTTCTCTTTAGTCTGCATAAAGGTAGTGTGTCAATATTTGGTGGTGGGGATAGCCACGTACAGTGTTTTATTTTCTGTCGGCAACGCAGGCCTCATTTGAATAAGACCCTGGGAAACGTCGTCGCCGAAGCTGGCGGAGAGCACAAGTGGTTTAGAAGATGCCAGGCCCGAGGCCCATCCAACTTTAAAGTTTTCTTCTTTTCAAGCAGGCCTCTCAAGAAAGCATGAGACCTTTTAAGGTGTAGACTGGTTATATGCCTGCTTAACGAAAGCCTATAGGGGTTCACATTCCGAGAGCATTCTTCTGCCGGCACTGTTCCAATGTTGAACAATGCTGGCATACTAACCAAAGCCCCACCGCATGATGCATGGGAGTGACTTGGATATTTCGAAGGGGAGTACTTATCGGTAGCTGAATTGACGAACTGACAACGGTGAAAGTTGGTCAGTTCCGAGCTAGCCTCAAGCAGTATTGGTGATTTTCCCCTTACTCATTTCGTTTTTCCCCTTTCCCCTTCATTTTGCATCCTTTTCCGGGCGAGGGGAAAGCCCCCCATGCCACCCGCAAGACGCCCCTAGGATGGTGGAATAGCATGGTTGCGGGGACAGAATAACAGGGGACCAATTCTGTCTCACTTCCTTGTTACCAACATCCTGAGAATTATGGCTCTTCAAGACAAACCATTAAGTTCGGCCTGTACACGGCAGCAATGCAGCCTGGGCAACAAGCCCCCCCCCAAAAAAAGGGGCCTAATGTCTGCCACATCCTATCCTAGTCTTCCAAGAAGTAGCCCTCCGTTCGGACTAGAACCAGCACCGTCAATCCATACTCTTTTACTAGTTGGATGAGCTATTTGGTCACCCCCACACCTTTTTGTGGTGAAGGGTGGGGGGGGGCAGATTTGGTGAACTTCTCTACAACCATGAATTCAGTCTTACTTTATAAGGGAAAATTATAAAAGCTTTCAATTACGCCGTTTTAATGTAAGATCATTGAAAAAGGACTCCTCTATGATAAGACGTACTTCTACACCATGATTAGCGCCCCCTAAAAACCACCCCTCCCCACCCCACACACACAATCCAGCTTTCCGAATTTCCACCGCGCCAGGCATTTTTTGAAATGTTAGTTACTCCCCCATTCCTCCAATTCTCCGGAACAAATTTACGCCACTGAACAATCCAACTTTCATTCTTCAGCCACGGTATGAAAAAAATTCATTTGGAGCTGTCCTGCCGTTATTCACATGATCCATTTAAAAAAGCAATTTCTGTTGCGCCCATCAAACTGTTTAGTGAAATTTGACGAAAACAAAATAAAACAAACGAACATTAAAGTAGCGCGAGTCAGAAATCCGCAAAATATAATCCAAAAGCAAATGACAATTTTGAGCCTAAAAAGTACGGTTTTTTTTTAAAATAAAAAACAAGTACATAGCGGTATTCCTTTGATTTTCACTTGCTATTTCTCTCATTCACTTCGGTCCCGCACAGAGCAAACAATGATCGGATGGCGTTGTATCCCCAATCGATTTTCGTCCAGCTAACATCGGATCACCAACTTGTGTTTTATTTTCGAAGCCAACAGTCACATTTTTTCGAAGGGGGTGTTTTTTCGCTTTACTGCGAAAGGCGACGCCCGTGCATTTCGCACCTTTTCATACAATGCCTTATTGACACAGCGCCGCGATGTTTACGCGTGCAGCGACGACAATCTATTTCAGTTTCCCTTTATGTGTTTTTTTCCACAGATGATTATTCTGTTGTGTTCCGGAATGTGGTTATTTTCTTAAGCGGCTCGTTTTTCGGCACCAACAGTGAAAAGTGTCGTGCCTGTGTCTTTGTTTTATTACCAGATGTCTGTTGGATTTTATGAGTATACAGCAAGACTTGTCAATTCTAAGACTAGGTTTCAGATGCCAGAAAATGCATCCGTTGTCCAGGGAGGGCGCAAAACACTTTGAGGCCGCACAGTCATCTTGTGCTGGCTGCCGCCGCCAGGAAGGTTGCACCCCAGTGAATAAAGTCTCACAGACACCAATGACAAATCCTCATGCTTCAATTTTCGTTTAAAATACTCACAACTCTCACGGGTGTTTAGGCTGCACAGAAAAATGATGAGCAACATGTCGTCTTTCAATTTCCTTTCAATTGTTGGTGCGTTGACTGATGACTTTTTGAAAAATTCTCACCTGAAGCAGGCCACCCCTGAAACAAATGATATTTCCCTGATGGGAAAAGTAGCCACTTCGTTAATACATCCCTATGCTTAATGGCTAAATAGTGCCACTTTCGGATCCGATTGCATCCAAATTGTTCAGAATGGAGCCCCTTAGTCCGGGCCAGAGGCTCAGTGCTATATTTCTTCAATTACACAATTCCACTGCTCTCAAGTCTCAGAACTCTCTCATTCAGAATATCTTGAATGTGTGTATATATAGGTTATATAGGTTTTACAACGAGCGAACGCTCCATGCATGCTGGTCTGTTGGACGTCAGAAGGGGGCGCACTTCTTCATCCACACGTTAAGGTTAGCAAACATAGCTAGGCGGGCCTGCGAATGCGATACACATGTATTACGTATAGCATGTACTGTAACGAATGTACACCGTTACAAGCATTCTTGCAAATCAAAGCGAGATAACTGAGTTGATTATGTAACGATTTTTATTTGCCGTTGAGAAAGATGGAAGGATCAGGCAACGTTCCACCGGATATTTTGCCGGTTTCTGGTACCAGTTGGCGTGGGGTAGATTTACCGGCCTTTTTTTACCTGCTGACGATGTTAGCATGTGAGTGCCAAGCCCAGGTTGGACGACGTTTTACCATGGTCCAACCAACCGGGCAGGTGTAACTTCAAGGTGTATATGTAGTGAGTGCCTAGCTAAGCTAGTCAGCTAGTAGTATGTTGAGGGGCAAGGGGTAGGCTACATTCATTTAAGTGACAATACATGCCTGTAATACAGTCTGACTCTTTGTAACTTTGTAAAGAACACAAGACTATTAATAAATACTTGTAAACCATGTAAACGGGTAAAAAGCAAATTCAGAGACTCTGAAGTCTGATGTATTGAATTTGCAAGTTTTCTTTAAGATGATAAAATAAGAATAGGCCTACTACATACATGACATTTTTACCCATCGTAAAACTTGTAAAATGGTGTATCACCATGATCACTCGGCCATCAGAAGGTGATGACATAGGCCTAGGCCCCTACATGTCCTAAAAACCATGTCCAAATGTAAAAAAAGGTGATTCATACGGTCCAGGTTACTCAGGCTACACAAATGTCAAATTTATGCAAAGGGTCAGGGTGTGAGGTGCTGCAAGTGTAGTGATTTTCATGTGTGGGGTTCTCCATTTTTTCATTCCTTTTACAGTAGAGGTGCACATCACAACTCGGGGACTGTCCCTGTATTCGGAGAAGTCCCTTAAAAGGAAACATTTTTACCCCTGGTGTGCTTAGGTCAGAAACATCCACACGATATTATTGATATTTTCTGCCATATTTTCAATTCATATTTAATTTGTTAAGTTGTTTTTATGAAATTTGTGCCATGTAACTTGATTAACATTGCCATAAGAATTAATTTTCAGAAATTGATCAGATCGCATTCAGATTGATTGTTTTAATGTGATCTTCTCCCCATCCTTTATGTGCCATTGCAGACTCCTGCTTGTAATGCTAGAAAAAAAAACGCTAGACGTTTATTTTAAACAGCAGCCGTGGATGTTTTCTTCAGTTGAATCCAACTACAGCAATAAAAGGATCCCCAGAGCAATGGTAGGATCACCAAGCCCACTGGAAAAAAATTGCTCCCATCTATGGGGACATTCTCTCTTTCCGGGGACGGATTTTGTCCTTGAATATTGACTTCTCCAAATAAAGGACAGTCTCCAAGTTGTGATGTATGCCTCTACTGTTTTATAACGAAGTCTACCAGGCTATAACAGTTTGTCTGGTCCCTATAACTTTGTTATAACAAGACTTGACTGTCACGATTATGGTAACTACATTATAGGCCTACGTGCTATTTGGCACGTCGCCCTGTTGGGTGTGATTGGCTGATCTGCATGATTGCCTGATTGGTTTGCATGAGTGGTTAATTTGGCATGGAATCTCCAATGTTACTTCCCGTTTTTGAAGTAATCTCATTCAACCGTGACCATGAATGAGAGAGGAGAGGCAATTGGTTGATCGCGGAATTGCCAACAAACTATGCTTTAGGATCAACCGATTGTGCAAATATCAAGCAGTCGCACATATCGACAGATCGCGCCCAACCGCTGAGCTGTTCTACTATTGTTGCCAGGGTTGTTGCCAAGACGGCATGATAGCTGCACTTTATCCGCAGCCACACGGGAAGTTTTCTTAAACACAAGCATTCTGCTACTTTATACTCTGTTTCAGGGAATGAAAACCTTTTGGACATCCCTATCCATTGGGCTAAATGCACTGAAAAGAGCCTGTAACACACATTGAAAGTTACCCAAGCTTCTCCGGACTATTTAGGTTGCTGTTACTCATTAGCAAATAAACTAAGAAGGCTATAAATGCCCTATAAATAGTGCCATAAGCGTAAAAAATGAGGTTAACTCAGATACAAATGTGCGTTGTGAGGTTTCTTTTTAAAAATGTTTGCTGCTGTTCTTTAAGTTAGCTTTTATATAGCATCTTGTCTTGTTGATTAGCTGCCCAGGCATGTGTAGCACTGTCTGACAGCGGACCAACCAGATGATTTGTCAAAGTTAAATTGGCAAATCTCCAGCTCAGCAAGGAATCATCTCTGTTTTTTATAGTACACGAGAGCCAACAGTATTGCTGTATCAGATGTCAGTCTTGAAATTTGGAGATTTTACTCAGTCATTTTCCTTTCAAAAGCGGAAAGAATAGGGGAAAAATGGGGAAATAATTAACTAATTTTCTTTCTCTGACTAGCCTGTAACATTTTTAAGATTAACCATGGATTAACAAACCAGATTATGAATTGGGCCTCTATGATATATATTTATAAATACTGTCTTCATCTATACATGTGTACTGTCATGTATTTGGCCTAGTGTAGCTCAGCGATGCATAGCACAGAGCCGTTTTAGAGTACCTGGAAACTTTTGCTTGTTATTCAAACTGATTTCAGATTATTATCACGCTGCCTGATTTAGTATACTGCCGTCTTTCCTGTTCGGCATTCTTTTATAGGTTATCCGTTGGCATATATCTCGCGGACCTATTTGCATGGGCAACCCTCGTCAGTCAAGCATGCCTACTTCATCCTCTGCGGCCTGATTCTGATGTTTGCTAACTTTGGTGAGGAGTGCAATGAGTTGGGTTCCAAGACCTGAACTCAGCAGTGTTGTCACCATGTCCATCACAGGTGCTTGCATATAAGCCCATTGATGAACAGTGACAGAAGAACGTGCTTGTTATTTGAATAGCTTAGTTTTCTAAAAGACCAGGGCCCAATTTTATGGCGCCGCTTACCGCAGAATTCCACACTTGCAATCTCAATGCTGCGCTAACTGCGCTAACTGCGCAAGCAGAAAAATTCCTCGCTAACCCGTGAAATAGGTTCGCCATAAGCACAGAATTTTCTGCTGTGGTAAGCGCTGATTTTTCGCTTGCGGTAAGCAGGGCTGTGAAATTGGGCCCAGATGACTAGTGAGCAGAGCTGTATATTGAGGCTGCATCCAAATCTGTTGTCTAGAGCGAGGTCTAGGTCTGGGTCTTCACTCCATTGGGAATATACAGAGACGCGCAGACAATAGACCTAACTGTAGCTCTGGAAGCCTGTTTTGGACACGGCCTGAGAGTAGTGCCAACGTCAGACTTTGGAACCAAAATGGCTGTTCATTATGTCTGTAGTACAGGATGCAGCTGTTGTGTGCCTGTGCCCCGAAGCATGATCCACCATTTTGGTTCCAACTGTCGAGACACTCATGTCGCAACTCTCTGTTATAAACAGCTCTGCTTGCGAGGACTTTTGATGGACTCGATTAGAACTCTGCAAACTTGGAGGACTCATTCATGCTGAAATCTCAAATGGACCACACACTGATGTGGTGCACTGATAACTCAATCTTCCACTGTCAAGACTCGCTGACCCTCCCCCCGGAGATCCTTGTAATAGTTTTGTAGGATTTTGCAGGATTCAGGAAGGTAGATCCCAGCATGTAACTTTACATGGGGCTTAATGCTACTAGAAAGTCACAGTCTAGAGAGTGTGCCATTGATAAAGCTGCCTTGTAGGAAATTTTAGAAGACTCGTGACAGTTTCTCAGCAAGAATGCCTGCTGCAGAAAGTAACTTGTAGTACATCTCCTGTAAGTCGCTGTTCTGACCCCAGCTTAAGTTCGTGATCAGAATTTTACTTTGGAAAATCTTTTATGCAACTTTCTACTCTTCACTGTACAAAAAAATAACATTTCCCTCATTGGAAAGTTTATATTTGAAAAAATATATTTAATGCTTCATTTTAGAAGTGAAGCCAACACTTGCCCTGTTAAAAAGAAATTTGCAAGAAAACTGCTCCCTGAAATGCTGTCATGAAATGAAATAACATCTTCAAAAGAATACAAAATGCCCCCCCCCCAATGGACAAAACCCTGGGTGCTCTGACTTGATGACATCATTCTTTTGCTCATAAATATGCACATTTTCATTAGCATAAAACACCAAAATGCTCTTGTAGTGCCACAACAGAAATTAAAATTTGATTACAAACAACGAGGTAAGTACTCAACTCACATAAAAGAATTTCCATTGCACCGGCCCCTTTTAAGATTTTTTTGGCAAGGAGTATGACCTAGTTTACTTATGTCGGCTGACGAGAGAATTTTGTGCAACCTTGACTAGCATCAACATTGTGAAGCAACTAATCCCTGGTCGTGTCTACGAGACAAAATTTTTTTTTTTACCTTACTTGGAACAATTCATTAGTCAGGAAATCAGGCTTTGCACGAACATTGGATTACTCGCAACTGCTGAGATAGTGTGCCAGTGTGCACGCACCGTCGCCGTGGGTTTACACGCTGCAAATGCACTCGTCATGAATGTACAAAAAAGTGTAGTAGGAAGAACATGCTTTTCACCGTCCTAGAAAGGCACTTCTTTTGGTTTGGGTCTACAGGGCCTTGTGTGTAGACAATCGAAAATCAAAACAAACTCTGATCAACTTATACTCCCACTCTTCAGCTTTAGAACAGAACTCTCCAGAATTTCCACCAAGGACAGATGAAGCCCTCCTTCATGGGCATTTCATCAGCCGATCTGAAGTCATAATTTTAAAACTGAAAGAGTGTTTTCTTTACATTTTTCACCAGAGAATTAAACTTCCACATACATGTCGTTCCGAAGCCAAAAAAAAGCCAGCTTATACCTCATGTGAACCTGATGTCACGAAACATTCATAGCAAACAATTTTCCAGAGCTGCCGTGCATTAAGCCATTGCAAATTTTCCATGGAAATATTCATGTTCGTGCATGTGAATCCCTGCTAAAAACTATCCAGCCACAATAGACGCCTGCCAAACTTTTAAAATAATTAACCATCCAGTATTTGGGTGGTATGTATCTTGGGAAAAGATTTTATAGAAATAGTCATGGGCAGCCCCAGACCCAAGTCTCTTTTTTTGGGGGGGGGATTGAAGAATTGTTTGTTTGGGTGTTTGTCTGTGTTACCCTGTATGACTTTTCTGATGGTTGAGGCTAACTTTTGGACTTTTAACACATTTTTAAGGAAGGGAAATAACATTTTTCCAGGAGAGTGTCTTTCTCTTGTTATTTTGAAAGTCCGTGTTCCATTTTCCCCGGGGGGAGGGGATTATGCCTCATTGGTCCCTCCTCCTGATTGGCCAATAGAAATACACTTAGTGGCCAGAAAGCACTGAATCCAGGATTTGTATCCATGCTTGAGTTTCTGCAGTCTTGGCAAAATGTTAGACTAGGTGTTCCATGTGCAGATCTGTGTTTGTGTATGCTCACTTCCACTGTCTGAAGTCATGCTAATCAAGACAAGTGGACATCAACTGATTTTTCTTTGCCAAGTTTGTTTTCCATCTTTTGCCGCCAACAAGCCAATTAAAATGAAATCCAGCCTGGCATTTTGACAGGATGACACAAAGCCGACAGTGAATTAATACACACCAATAACTTTGCATTACAGTGTAGAGCTGTGGCCTCGATGTTCGGGTGTAATCGGTGGGAATTGCCGCATCTGGTCATTGGCACCACCTCCTAAAATATTCATGCATGCATGCTGTGATATCTTGCATTCCATCCTGCCTGTGCTGATCAACTAGTCCTGCTGGTAATGCTGAATTATTCATGATTTAATGATTACTATTCATGAAAGCGCACTCCTGTGTGGAACCACAGTTGCTTGCATCTTAACACGCACATGCCAGTATAGGTTTCTTTTTTGCTTCTGTGTATTTTTAGTTCCACCTTTGCCCTCTAATTGGATTGTCTTCTGGATTCAATAAAAACTTGTTTATTTGCATTAATTATGTTCACTTTGCACGGATGTACTAATTAATGGCTGTAACTTGTCAAGCTCTCAAGTAATTATTCATACACAATGACTATTTATATTCATTGAATATTCATATGCATATAGAGTATGCTTGTTCATATGTGCAATTTTTTTCTCCCCAAGTATGCGTCACAAAACCACCTTGCACACTGCCCCTGGACCTGTCTGCTTACTTTTCTTCTGATCTTTAGGCATTCTTGCATTTCATTCCAATCCTACGTTTGCGTCATTCAGGATACGGCGTCATCCACTCGGCAATCTCGGTCCTGGCCAACTATGCCCTGCTAGTCACGGTAGGGGGCAGTCAGCTGTCTGTGGTATTGTCTTTCATTTTCAACATGGTAAGTCATGTTGTTATGAGGGATCTTGTGTAACATCCTGTTCTAGTCACCGGCGCCCGCTCCTCCCTCTCCCCGTTGACATTCAGGCGATGAGTTTGCACAGCACAGTTTTCATTTTCGGAATCCTTCTGCTGTTTATTGAATTTAATGATGCGTCTTCTTTACAATACGAGGTGCTGGTAGATCTGGCAAAAAACAAGGTTTGAGTTTTCAAGAAGACTGTTGGATACCAATCTTGAAAATATCCACCGGCAACATTGCCGGCTTAAAGTGTGCACTAGTTTCAACATGTGCCAAGGACCGTTTTCATTGTGAATAGTCAGTTCTAGCATTCTAATCAGCCAAGGACTAGCAAAGGAACAAAGAGAAGTAAACATGGACCATCTGCTACAGTAAAGATGCAAAATCTTTCGTAATTCCTCAGCATTTCTTACTGAAAGCATTGTTCTGCTGTAATGAAACAAGTCTTGTGGATCTCGTGGAGTATGTTAGTACTGTAGGGTATTTTCTGCCGGTTTTTCCTGATTTTTAAAAAAGAAAACAAACTTATTTCCAGGCCTACCTGTTGATTGCCTACGTCCTCCTGTCCACGGACGGCTATGACCTGATCTGGACCACGCCCCACTGTATCCTGACAGTCAAAATGGCTGGCACGGCCTTTGACCTGTATGACGGCCACAAGAAGGAGGTAAACTCAGCCAGTCTCTCTCGCTCTGACCCCAGCTACAGTCAATAAGCATTATATGCAACGAGTCACCTAGTTTTAATAGCCCCTTGGTTACGGCTCGACACAAGTAAGGCTGGTTATCATTTTATTCAAATCAAGTATACAATTACATGAACAGAAAGGAAACCATTTCAACCACATAACAGAGAGAAATTTGTTCATCATGGCTTTGGACAGAGTCATCTATAAACCCTGGTTTTTATTTACAATAATCCTTGCAAAGTTTCAACTCATTTTGAGGCTATTTAAATTATTCCTTTGAAGTGCATTGTTACAACTGCTATTCTTTTGGACATTCAAACTCCCAACCTTCATCCAGTAAAGCGTCAAATATTCAACTATTTGATCGCATGTCAGTCAGGTCAGGTCAGTCAGGGACCATCGGTCAACTGCTGATCGAATTTGCCTGGTACCCATGATGGACGTTTTGCGTCGGTTACCAAAGGGCAGTTGACCAGTGGTCGACAAATGGTCCCTAATTAAACCTGTGATAATTGCAGGAGGTGCTGAGCCTGGAGCAGAAAAAGTTGAACATCAAAAGGGCGCCCTCACTCCTGGAGCTGGCCGGATACACCTATTTTATCGGTGGGTGTTTTGCTGCTCCCATTTTCTCCATCCGGCCCTACCTGGAGTTCACGGAGGGGAAGCTGGCCGACAACGACCGGGCACTTCCCCCCGACTGCATCCGGCCTGCCCTGGGGAGGCTCGGGGTGGGCTGCGTGTACCTCGTGCTGTACACGCTGCTCTCCCCAGTATTTTCCAACGCCTACCTGATGTCTCCAGAATTTGCGGTAGGTGGAAGCGTGGCCAGCCCCTCGCAGGCCGAACACTATACTCTTGAGTATGGGCAATTCACAAAATGACAACCAAGTGTTTGCTTGGAGAATACCATGTTTCGAGAATACCACGTTTCAACTTCAACAACATCCTCCACATAATGTTGGAGTTCATCGACCATTCTTTTCTTCGTAAATGCAAATGGGTCTGGAAGCATTATAGATTTTTTAAAAATCATACTTCCCGGAAAAAGTTGTAACTTCATAGTAAATCACACCATCCAAAACATGGTTCTGTTATATAGTCTGTGGTACTTTAAAAATAGATGATTAAATTCCGCAAATTACCAGCTAAACAAATAGAAATAGTTGAAGTCAAATTCAGTAATAGTTCCATCTCAAATTGAACAGGTCAGGCATAACGGGGACACAAAAACGTCACACGTTTGGACCCTGAATTTATAGAACGACCCCCTTCCTAGCTGATGGTTCAGCTCTCTCCATCCCCTCCTGGATTTGTCCTTCCTCTGCCCCCCTTTCATCCTTTGCTTTCTCAAGTTTTGCATTCAACATTCTTGCTTTTGCAGAGTTTGTCCTTCCTGTCCCAAATGTTTGTGGTGATGTGCTGGGGCAAGGTGGCTATCTCCAAGTACTCTGTGATCTTTCTTTTTACAGTAAGAAAGTCACTGGGCCTTCAGTGGAGAGTGCTTATCACTTTGATTTTTTTTTCTGGTATTTCATTCTGCTGAGGCACTTAAGCTAAGTTGTGGTCTGGAATCTGTGCAGTTATTTTACTGTAATCCTTGAAGAAGGACCTTTGTGTTTTAGTCAACCTTATTTACAAAACTTGTTTTGCTAGTTTGATTGGTACTTTGGTGATTCTTAGTTTTTATGCTAATGCATTTCCATATTCATGGAAAGCTGTGATGTCATCTTAAGGAGAAAATTTTCTTTGTTTTTCTCAGAGATGTTTTTAATGAGATAATTTAGGATTCCAGTTTTGAATAGAAAATCATATCAAATAAACAGCGGCCACACTGATGGACATCACAGCAACAGCGCCCTCGGTTGTCCAGAAACATGGACAATATCAAACTATTTTTTTTGCATTTTTCAGTACATCTGATCCCAAAAGACTTGAAACTGTTTGTTACACTTTTAAGCCGAGTACAGTGTGTCTCACAAAAAGTCATCACCTGGACTTTTAACTGTTCAAAATCCTCTTCAAAATATAACAGAATGTCAGTGATATAGAGTATTTTGTCTTTATAAAATGGCTTTACAAATTCTTCCCTGTTACTCAAACTCAGTACCAACTAGCAACCTACCTCTGTCCCTAGCAACTAAACAGCAGGGAAACAAAGTCGGGATTATTTTATTCAAAATTCAACACAAAATGAAGTTACAACTAGCCAGAAACAGAGGCCAAGAATACCTTCATGTCAGTTTATGATTTCAACTCCCAGGGAAAATCTGAGTTGGCCTCACTGCAGATCACTTCATCATTTCCCCCTCCCCCAACCCACCCGTTCAGGAGGGCGTTTGTATCATGAGCGGATTCGGCTACAACGGAAGAGACAAGAACGGCAACGTGCTGTGGGACCGCTGCATCAGCTACAAGCCCATGCAGTTTGAGCTGGCTACAACCTGCCGGGAACTTGTCAAGTCGTTCAACATCTCAACCAACACCTGGGTCTCCAGGTAGGTAGAATGGACAGGGAGTTAAGTGTGATGGGGTGGTTTCAATTCTTTTAGTACATTGAAACTGGCCAGGGAACCGGCTATTAAAATGGACTGAGCTGGCACTATAAACAGCGAACACTGGTACGTGCTCACTCCATTACTGCAGACGAGTCTCATCCGGCCAATGAGCTCTTCCAAATGATGAGGCGTAAATACAGATCAATTCAGGGACGCACTAGGTGATCAAACCGCTCATTTTATAACACTGCAGTCAGGTTCCTGAATGGGAATTTTAAATAAATTTTAAATATATGTAGGTTTTTTTCTTTTTGTTTCTAATTTTAAATCTTAACCTAATTTAATAAAAAATAGATTGTGATTGTGCGTTTTGTGAATATTTTAGATATACATGTATTTTAGGTTTTTACTTAGCGAGCAGTCAGGTAATTTCTGCTATTTGTACTTTTTATGAATATATAGCAATGAATTTCTATTCAAATTCAAACGGCTTATCAGCAACCAACCTTACAATAACAAATTCAGCTTTTTTAACTGGGAACACCAAAGCAGGAGTTTTTGTTCGGATTCAGGGGTCATGTTTATTGCCAATTGGGTTAAACACTACTCGGCTGTCTTTCATCATCTGGGAAAAAAGTACCCACATGATGGGCTCTGGACCAATTAGAGAGAACCACCTGTCATAGGTATTTGTGAATGGTACTACCTGTAATGGTATGGTATGTCCCGTTTATATAACCCCAATGCTGTCCTAAGCTCAGCCACTGCTGGACACCAACAGCTTATTTTCTGTTCTTCACTTTCAGAGGAACATCAGCTGCCATGTTTAAGTTGTAGTGGCTAGGCTCTATCTACCCTCCTCAACCCTTCAAAATCCTTCAAAATTTCTTACTGGATTTTGAAAGATCTAAAAGGATTAGTGTCAAGAGTGTGTCTCGTGTGTTCCACAAAACCCTAGTCCCAAAAATAAGACAATCTAAGTATGCATGACCTCCAGAAAGAGCACAACATGATGGAATCATTGCCCTTTTCAAGATCTCAGTGTTAGTCCAAATAGCACTGGTATGATATTATCAAGCACTATTTCTTTCTATGGACTCTTGTGTATAACGTGAAGCCTAGCAACTTCTGGAAATCAAGTTGTGCGTACCGAGGGTTTGCCTGAGAACAAGTTAAAGGGAAGCTGGGTACTTTTCCCTCAGTCATATTTTTAACTTTCAAAAGATCTGAGAGCCAGTCCGGAAGTAATTACATGTAGCATGTTGGCCGTGCTGGTCTGTGTTCAGACCCTGTGTGGTCACAGTTTCAAGAACTGGCCTCGATCTATACTGGGCAAATTTCCTACATCTGCAATGACTTCATGTCTGAGTAAACTGGCTACCGGCTGGGTCTAATGTATCGGTCTGTTGCAAAATGGCTCACGTCACTACTCACTGGTTGCCAGGGAGTACCAAAGTGTGACGTCATTATGAACCAGGAAGTGTTGTGTAAATGAATGGAGTATAGATGCTTGTTGGTTCACGCCCTGGTTACAAGTATGCCTAGCATCACCTATGACTGACGTCCTAACTTGCAATCCCCCATTTGTTTAGTACACTCATGCAAAGTCAGGGAAGTTTGTAGAAGTATTGAACCTGAACTTAGCAGCTGTGCATGACCAGTTGTGGTTACAAATAGTGCTCCATGGGATGGCCTCAGAGTGTTGAAAAATATGAGGTTAAAGTAAGAAATATTGTACAGATACTTTGCAAATGACTTTTGTAAATCGGTATTTGTGGGGTTCTGTTTTTATATCAAAAAAGGGAGCCATATCTGGCCTTTATTTAAAAATTGAAATTTTCAACCTATCTTCCCTGAGCAGAGGAACCCTCTCATAGGTTGAAAAAAGCTATGTTGGTGGGGAGTATTCATTTTGTTGGTAGCGACGTGACCATGACGCGTGCAGTTCGTAGTTGTTTGTGAACCAGCAAAGGGCAGTTCCCACCAAAGGAGCCTCCGTTGCTAGGAAAATTGCGCCCTCTCTTGTTCCAACTCCTGCCCCATAATTACAACCGTTTTGATTAGTAGTTAAGTTGCTGAATGGATGATGAACGACGATGGATACTTTTCTATCTTTGTTCATTTTGTCTCCATTCCACCTGTAGGTATGTCTACAAAAGACTGAAGTTTCTCAACAATCGTAACGTTTCCCAGCTGGCCGCGCTTCTCTTCCTGGCTGTTTGGCACGGTTTCTACGTCGGCTACTACGTAGGCTTCTTGCAGGAGTTTGTCGTCTTCTTCATTGAAGCCAAGGTCTGTCAGAGCTCCTCCTCGGAACTTGGAAAAGAAGTGCATGGAGGTACCTCCCTGTGAGAGAAATGTCCAATTTTGCGCACAGGTGTGACTCTTTTTTCCCAGGATGTGCTGCCATTGACCTCTCCTTGGTAGCTCCTTGCATCGGTAGTGAACTGTATTTTAAAATCTTTCTTTCTTGAAATTCCCCAACGGATCAGTATCATTCAAATTTCTGAAACAGTGATGGTTATCGGGGGATTTTTTTTTACATGGTCTTTGCTTTTGTTATGTAGGTTGTGGAAATCAGCCAGCGGTACCCACCCCTGGCCCGAGCCGCTGAGGTGCCCCCGATCAAGGTCTTCCTGTGGGTTTGTTTCAAGGCCTGGAACCTCTTCGTCATGAGCTTTGCGCTGGTACCCTTTGTGCTACTGCGGTGGAGAAGAACTCGCCTGGTGAGTCCCAACGGACTGTCTATTAGGCATTGTCATTGGGAAAGACCACAGTACCACACACAGCTTTAACCACTTCCTACCGGGGCAGCTATCAATGTTGATGATGCTTGGCCGGGATATTTATCATTTTTTTCTGTTTCAGAATTCTTCAAAAATTCCTATCTTCATTCACTGGACACTTACAAACACGTGAAGGACTGTCTGGTGTCCATTCTAGCCTGACAGACAAAATCTATTGACGCCTGAGTATTTCAGCCAGGCCTGCAGCCTTGTAAAAAGAGCCCAGATTGTGTGGTGTTGTATAACGTGCTGCTGACCTCTTTTCAATAGGGGCTAGATTAGCATGCAGCAGTGCTGTTTGGCTCATCGCTGCGGTGGTGGAGCGCTTTTGTCCCCGGTGGTAATCCGCTCATTCTAAATGCCCCAAACCTAGGTATACTGTTTCAAAACAAGGCTGGATTATCTCCACTTTTGAGAGAGAAAAAATGTTGGTAATTCCCAGCAGCCGGGTCTTTTGTTACAAGGTCCTGTTCCCTTTGTCCGAGTTGGGAGACCCCGGCCACGCATATAAAGCATACGTATCTGGATCTGGAATCCCCGGCAGGGAGTGGTTAACACAGTTGCCAATTGGCCCTTGGAGCTTTATAAATTTGCAAAAAGTATGAGAAATATGCCGAGACAGCACTCAGTGCTAGATCTGAACGATAACAATTGTAGATGGCACAAGTTGGGACCGTCATGCCATTTGGTAAAGGTGAACTTGCAAAAAAGACTCCCCCTCTTAAGTTTACAACAAACAATGCTCAATTGTTGACCAAACACTTGCATACAATTAAAGCTGTACGGAGTATGTAAGGATACTGTGACGATGTGCGCAATTCTGGTCAATGCACCTTGGCCAAGCAGGTGGACTGACCACTACTACAAAATGAGGTCACTTGTGGACGTGATGGGCACAGAACTTTCTGAGACAAAGGGCCGTGTATGTTTCGCACGGATCTGGATCCAGATCAGTGATCCTAACGCTGGTTTGCACCATCCATTAGGCGAGTTTTGGTGTCCATAAACCAATAACGGATCACTGATCGTGATCCAGATCCCTGTGACAAACAAACACGGCCCCGATTTCACACCAGAGGAATAAACATGCTGAGTAGAATATTGCGTAGTCCTTAACCCTCCTATGCTGAAGTCACTCTTTAGGTCACTTGGTAAACACCTCAAAGAAGAACAGCTGTGGTGTGTTGTGCACTGCACCAACTGTCCCTCACAGGAATATCAGATTGCACTTTTGTGCTGCCC